ATCCCCTTCTCTTCCTGCCTTCAATCTTTCCCAGAATCAGGGTCTTTTCTAATGAGTCAGTTCTTAGCATCAGGTGACCAAAATATTGGAGCTTCAGCTGCAACATCAGTCCTTCCAATGAATATTCAGGACTGATTTCCTTTAGAATGGATTGGTTGGAGCTCCTTTCAGTCCAAGGGACTATCAAGAGTCTTCAACACCACAGTTCAAAAGCATCAACTCTTCTGCACTCAGCTTTCTTTATAGTCCAACTCTCACATCTATACATGACTACTGGAAAAACCACAGCTTTGACTAGATGGACCTTTGTTTGCAAAGTAATGTCTTTGCTTTTTAATATGCTGTCAAGGTCAGTAATAACTTTTCTTCCAAAGAGCAAGTGTCTTTTAATTTCATGGCTGCAGTCACCAACTGCAGAGATTTTGGAACCCTCAAAAATAAAGTCTGTCACTGTTTCCATTCTTTCCCCATCTATTTGCCATGAAGTGATGGGACCAGATGCCATGATCTTAGTTTTCTGAACGCTGAGTTTTAAGCCAACTTTTTCACTCTCCTCTTTCACTTTCACCAAGAGTCTCTTTAGTTCTTCTCTTTCTTCCATAAGTGTTTTGTTATCTGCATATCTGAGGTTATTGATATTTCTCCCAGCAATCTTGATTCTAGCTTGTACTTCATCCAGTCCAGCATTTCTCATGATGTTCTCTGCATATAAATTATATGTGTTAGATTGAACCATATGAAATTTGTTTTGTAAGATATAATGGATCAACTACTTTGCACATTCATATGGTTCGACACGCCATTACATTTCTTCCTCATCACAACAGCCCCTTTAAAAAGATATCATTGTTCCCACTTTACAGATGAGAAAACTAAGATTCAGAAAGTAAAAGTCTTGGTACAAGCCTGAGAAGTCAGTAAGTGCCGAAACCAAGCTTTGAATCCAGATTGTCTAAATAGAGGGCCAGAGTGCTTTCCAGCCTATCACAGCTACCAGGGGAGCAAAAGATATGTTTTAAGAATTTAAAGACCCTGAGGTGTTACAAACTAGAGATTCTTGGAGTCAGCTGAGTCTGAGGGGAACCTTCTCAATCTGTATCTGGCGCGCTGGCTCCAAGGAAGAGCCGGGATTGCGTTCCCTGCTCCGTCCTCCCAATCACTGGAGGCGCCAAACGCCGAAAGTCTTATTTAGAGGGCCCTCCGCGGACCCGTGGGGCGCCTCTTGTTTCTGCTCACACCGGTCCCGACCCACGGCGCAGGCGCCGTCCTCCGCTCCGCACCCCCTCCCAACCAGCGGCCATTGAGCAGGCGCCCCAAGCCTGGAGTCGGGGGCGGGGGCGCGCCCAGAGGTAGGCTGCTTGGCAGTTGGTTCCGAGCGGGCCACGTGGCCACGGTGCCGCCGCGCGAGCGTGCGCAGAGGGGCTCAGCTCCGCCGTGACGGAACGACGAGGCGTTGGGGCGCGCGACCTCGCCCGCCCGGCCCGGCCCCCGCCCCTTGGCCTGCCGCTCCGCCCCCGCGGGGCGTCCCGGGCCGCTCGTCCCCTCGGCGGCGGCCGCGCGCGGCCCGGGGTCGCCGTGAGTACTCGCGAGGCCGGCCTGTGGGGCGGCTGCCACCGGGGCCGGGCGGGGCGGCGGGGCCGCGGAAAGGGTGCGGGGCCCGCCTCTCCTCGGCCAGGGTGGATGAAGTGAGGGGCTTAGACTGGGTGGCTCTGAGGTGCTCTCCTGGGCTTGACAGGCTTCGCTCAAGGCCGGGTGGCTAGCGACACAGATCGGGCACAAAGCTGCTTTCCCGGGAGGCAGGTGTTGGGGGTCTCCAGAGGAAAACGGAGAAGAGGTCTAACTGCTCCCCCCAAGGGAGGCCTCACGGCCTGTTCTGGAAGCGCGGTGGCAGCCAGTGTTCGGGGGCTCACCCCGGCCTGTCCCTCCGCCGGGAGCCCGGGGTAGCGTTAGGTCCGTGAGTTCGCCGCCGCGCTCTTTGTTCCGTGGCCTAGGCTTTCCGGGAGAGCGGAGTAACCTCCTTGCCCAGGACCACAAAGGTGGGAGTCAAATCCAGAGTTTAAACGTTGAGATCCGAGGCTTCTTTGACTGGGTATAAAGTTGTCACACCGAGAAGCGCCCGTGGACGTCGGCCACGACTTTTGTGATCCGTACTTGGGGCTTAATTACATATGGCCAGTTCCCGTGCAAATTCCCTGTTTTCTGCTGTCGGCCGAAGCACTGACCGTCAGACACCCTTCTCTGGGCACTCTTCACACAGTCTATATTTGGCCTGGGTTTTCTTGAAAGTTTCCCTTCTTCACCTCATTTGAATAAGTTAGATAGGTCTTTCTTGCTTAATTCATTAGCAACTCCCTTTATTGCTTGTGACCGTATCACAGGAAGAGTGGATGTGGGGGGAACCTATCAAATGTGCTCAAGTCCCAGTTCCACTTGCCTGGACCTAAGCAAGTTGCTTGACCTCTCTACCCCTGATTTTTTTATATGTAACGTGAAAGCTTTGAAAAAGACTATCTTTCTAGTTATTCCTGTTTAAAATGTAATTCTGTGAATTAGGTAACTGCCCACTATGCCACCTTTGCCACTCTTCATCATTTAAACCCTTTCTCCCTCCATCTCTCAGAGGAGTGAGCTTTGAGAGTTGAAGGTGGGAGTCCCTTTCCCTGAAGCAGCCTGGGTTGAAAAAGATGGTAGTCTATGAATTATCTTTTCCCTGGACAGGAAAAATACCCTCTGAATTATCTTTTTCTCCTTATGATAACAGCAGAAACCAAGCAGCAACAACCCTTGGAGAGAGACTAAGTTTTCTTGACTTCTACAGTGACAGAGAGCTTGTGAAAGTTGGTACTTCTGGCCTATGCTGCCATCATCCTACCACCCAGCCCAAGACGCCCCAGGCTGGACATTAGTGCCTCCCTCTTTATTTCTCTGTGATCATCCAGATCAGCACCTGACTGTTTATTTTCAAAGCTCACAAACCCAGCCCCCAGATCTTCATGTTCTGGTTCTCAGCTACTGTTGAAGGTGAATGGAGTCTTGCTTTTTAAGATTATTTTTGTATGACTTTTGTCTATGTAGTTGTGTTTAAGTTCTCGTATGTATCTCCCCTTTGGCTTAGGTCTCCAGCAGACAGTTCATTCATTCAGTAAATATGTGTTGAGGGACTGACAATATAGACAATGAAAAGAGTCAGAGCCTCTGCCACCATAGAGCTTACATTCTGGTGGGAGATAAATACAACAAACAAACATTTTGTACATCAGAGTGTGGTAAGTGCTGTGGAAAAAAATAAAGCAAGGAAGGGGGATGGAGAGTGCTACTATATTGTATGTTGGGGTTTTGCTGTTTTATATGGAATAGTCAAGGTGACCTTCAAGCAGAGATCTGAAAGAGTAAAGGAGTAAGCCATGTGCTTATCTGGGTGAATAGCATCCCGAGGAGGGTGACCAGCAGGGACAAAGGCTCCGAGATGGGAATATGCTTGGTATGTTTGAAGAACAGCAAAGAGGCATTTATGGAGTCTTAGTGATAATCTTCCTGTTCTTATTTAGAGTTAACTTTTTAGGGAGAGCCCTTCCAAGGGTAGTCTCTGATTTTTTTTTTTAATGAAAATCTCCAACTATGCACAAAAGTAGAGAGTATAAGAAATGCTTATCATCACTTAGCTTCATCAGTAATCATCACTTTGCCATGTTTTTTTCACCTGTTCCCCACCCTGATGCCCCTTCTGCCTTTTGTGCTGGAGTTGAATTTTAAAGCAAGTCTCAGATATCAGGCCATTTCTTCTCTAAGAACTTCAGTTGTGATTTCCTTTTGCATATTGTTTTTGATGGGTCAGGCAGCCCTGCCCGATGAAGGACTACTATGCTCTTTTCCTTGGCATTGTGCTTTATGTCGCCATACTGGGTTAGTTACAGGTTTACGTTGGTTTCTGAGGAACAGACCACAGGCCCTTGGAACACACAAGGATTTAGAACGGTGGTTCTCAGCATAACTTAGAGGGGTTGTTGAAACAGATTGCTAGACCTCTGGAGTTTCCAATTCAGTAGGTCTCAGTAGGGGATCTTAGAATTTACATTTTAAACAAGTTCCCAGGTCATATTGATGCTGCCAGTTCACAGACCTTACTTGAGAGCCACTGATCTAGATACCTAAGATGCAAGAGAACCATGTTAAAGATTAAGAACACCTCTGTTTAAGGTTGGAGTGGATGAAACTGATAAATACAAAGCCAGGAAGCAGTGGTTTTTAATTTTGCACAAGGGCTAGAAGTTAGTGTTTTTCTGAGCATTTCTTCAGATCATTATTATATTTTGCGGGGAGTAGATTCCAAGAGGAGTCCAGGGCATTATTTTGGCTGTGACAACTCAGACTCTACCAGAAAATGGTCAGAGTTGTTGAGACTTTTAAACTTAGCTATGATTGTTATAGAAAGACTCCTAAGGATACTGGTTTTAAATAAGAGATGAACACTCAATTTGGAGAAATAACTAGGGATAAAGATTTTTTAAAAAGTGTCTGCTTCTGATGGTGGTTGATTCTATGAAGAATATTCTAAAATGAACTGACTTGACTGAGTAGCATAGCATCTGGTCCTGCCATCATCATTTTGGCTTCAGGAGTTGATAAAATGTTATGAACTAGAGCAGGGACTTGCTTCAGTCACAGCTCTGTAGCTGGAGGACATGTCTTATGGTCATGTGGTGCTTTCATGGTTCATTCTCTTTAAAGAACTGTGTGCAAGTGTGTCTACATGCATGCAAGTATGTTTCTATGTGCAAGTGTCTATACATCTGTATAATAAAAGTGTACCCATAAACATGTGCTTTTGTACATGTCACCCAACTGTTAAGTGATGATGAGATCAATTGTTGTCTACTTTCTGCAGGACAGTGACTTGTTACCATCACAACAGCAGATCCTGCCTTCCTCAGCAGATCTCCAGTCAGCCCCTGACATCACCACCCCCCTCCCAACCTTTGTCTCCTCTCTTGGCCTCCTCAATGCCCATCTCGTTGGCCTGGGTTCAACTGGTGGTATGGAGGGGTGCTGCCTAGCACTGACCTAGGAGTGTGTGTTACCCACTGACCCAATGGTGAGAATTCACTGCCCACCTTTCTAACTGATTGTCCGGGGGTAGATGAAAGAGATTGCAGACCTCACCTTCCCCCTGCACTCCCTTTTGGAAGTTAGGGTGGCTACTTGAAGTTAAGGGAAGGAGATGGGGCATGGCAACAGTATTACTTGGTGTGTGTTTAGGGAGTTTTCTTGGGCAGTAAGGGGGGAGTTAAATACTTGAAGGGATAGAAAGGGAGTTAGGAGACAAAAGAGCGAGGTGTGCTTGAGAGTCGCCTTGGGTAATGATCCAGAAGAGGCCAGCTTGTACTAGAACTTAGATATGCCTGAGAATCAACCTTGACGTTGAAGTCTTCTGCATACCTCCCCCACTGGCTACTAGAGCTTCAGTCATACCCGATAGCTAAGAAGGCTAAAATTCCCTATTGTTTTCCTCTGTGCCAGCAAGTCAGTGCTAGACCATGGATATGACCAGATTCGGGAAAAGACTGAGATGTCCCCAGAGGGTCAGGGGAAGGCAGCAAAGGGATTGGGGCCTCAGTTATTCTGTTCCAAGGGACCTCTCATTTGTGAAAATCTGTTTCTTATTTTAACCCCACTCTGTTCCATGAGATATCAGGCACCCTCAGTTTTTGTTTCTCATCATCAGGACATCAAAGGCCAGTTCTGGAATGATGATGATTCAGAGGGAGACAATGAATCAGAGGAATTTCTCTATGGAGTTCAGGTGAGATTACAGCCCCTAAACCCATGTTGGGTGGTCTAAATGTATACTTTCCTCTGGATACGTCAGGAGTGAAAGATTATTTTGGAGCAGAGATGGAGATATAGTGTTAGTGTGATCTGAAGATTATCTGGTTGGAGCTGATCTCATATTTTTGCTCTTGCCTGGAACTCTTATCTTTTCCAGTATAAACTACACCCTCTGTGCATGGAGTTTAGCCATAGGTTCTTAGTTGGAAACAATTATTTTCTGACTGTTTCCTCACTAACCAGCAGGGGTCATTTCATTCATTAGGGTCAGATTTTTTTAGATTCTTCTACCAGTTTCTGTTCAGTGCTGTCATTGTCCAGGGCATGATCCTGAGCAGAAATGTTGGATGCTATAGCCAGAGCTAATCTGAGTTAAATTCTGTACTCTTCAACTTGTTCTGAGTTCCCATAGGAGGGATCCCTAAAGAGTCCTGGTCAAGGTTGAGAGCAGCTGAGACTTAAGGATGTGAACTCCTTAAGCAGAACCTGCAGTTGGTCTACTGAAACCTCCTAGAGTGCTGATGAGGGGTGACTTGTCTGTCAGTGAAGTCCCCAGCTAGGGCCACCACCAAGAACCCCTTCATAAAGCAGCTTTTGCTTGTATGTGTTGCTATAGTTTGACTTCCCTGTTCCTGATGCTTCTTCATTATCTGTTTTCCTCTCTCTCTTACCCCTCCACCATTTGTGCTGCCGACTCAGGGAAGCTGTGCAGCTGACCTATATCGGCACCCACAGCTGGATGCAGACATTGAAGCTGTGAAGGAGATCTACAGTGAGAACTCTGTATCCATCAGGTGGGACTCTACTTCAGGGATGGCAGGGGGCTCAGCCACTTCTTTGTGAGTTGCTAAAAGGGTAGAGGTTTTTTCTTTATGGTGTGATGGTGGGGTCTGTGAACTTTCATAAGTTTTGATCCTAATGATGGTGAGAGTTGCTCAGAATATTTAAGGTAGGCTGACAGGAACAATTAGGAAAGTATAACCATTTTTCTTAGAAGTTCCCTCTTATCCTAGATCCTCTAGGCTGAAGTTTCACCTTTGGGTTAAGAAGGGCTTGTGGCCTGGCAAAGGCTTTGATTGTAAAAGTGGCTGTAGCTAAGTACAGAGCCTCCTTTCACCCTTCCCTCTCCCTTATCCCCAGGCTCACTTCTCTTTCCACTTCAATTTCAATTTCTGTTCCCTTCTTTCTCCCTTAATGAGTCTCACATGTGATCACCTGTACCTCTGTAGAGAATATGGAACTATCGATGACGTGGACATTGACCTCCACATCAACATCAGCTTCCTTGATGTAAGTGATGCTAGTACCTGCCAACAGCAGGTCTAGTTGAGCTTGTGGGTTTTGCCACATAGGCCTGGAGTCTTGTTCCCAAGTGCTATATTTGAAGCACATATACTTCATGCCTATCTCTAGACCATCAGCAGACAGTACTATGTGCATGTGTGTGTCATATAGCGAAAACTTCAAAGTCCATCTCTCTGATGCTGAACTAGAAACTATTCCCCTTACTCTTGTAGGAGGAAGTTTCTACAGCCTGGAAGGTCCTCCGGACAGAACCTATTGTGTTGAGGCTGCGGTTTTCTCTCTCCCAGTACCTTGATGGACCGGGTAAAGGCAGTGACTTTGTGCATCTGCGTGCTCTTAACTAGTCTAATCCAACGGTCTAAGTTAACTGAGGTAGAGAAAAACTAGGAACAAAGCCTTTTGGTGTAATCTGAAGGACATTGGTAGGAGATTTTCAGTCTTCTTTCATTGTTGTCTTCATTCCCTATCACCTAATGCTGCTAAGTCGCTTCAGTCGTGTCCGACTCTATGCGACCCCATAGATGGCAGCCCACCAGGCTCCCCCGTCCCTGGGATTCTCCAGACAAGAACACTGGAGTGGGTTGCCAGTTCCTTCTCCAATGCATGAAAGTGAAAAGTGAAAGTGAAGTCGCTCAGTTGTGTCTGACTCTTAGCGACCCCGTGGACTGCAGCCCACCAGACTCCTCCGTCCATGGGATTTTCCAGGCAAGAGTACTGGAGTGGGGTGCCATTGCCTTCTCCACTATCACCTAATAGTCATGCCTTAAAGACTTTCTTGGTTAATGAAATTGTTTTCTCTAGTTCCTCGATATTACTTATTCTTCCCCTTCTCCTCAGCTTCCTTATAGAAGTTGAGGATATTTGGAATTGGTCAGACAGTTCCCAGAATCTACATTCTGCCTCAGACGTTTTCATTTTCTATTATTATTGTTTAGAGTACTCTTGAAATCTGAGGAAGCTAATCCACTGAACTGGGGCTTTGGACTCCCAGGAGGATAGACATGTATATGTAGTAGGAGCTTTTTCTTCTCTTTGCAGAACCATCAATTGAGGTTTTCCAGCCATCAAATAAGGAAGGATTTGGGCTGGGTCTTCAGTTGAAAAAGTAAGAACTTTGATCTTGCTGGTTATGAACATTTGAGGGAAAGAGAGATAGGACAGGCAGACTCTTGAATGCTTCTTTCCAAAAGTGTATTTCTGACATGTGCCCAAGAAAGACTAAAATAAATTTGGGGAGTCCAGTTTATGGTTAGGTGGGGGAGCTTGTGTTTCTGGGGTATATGCCCTTGAGGCTTCCTGGAGGCGAGAGGTAAGGCTCATCAGTACTTAGCATTTAAAGGAAAACACAACCCTGGAATTAGAGTTATGCTCATCACACTTCCTCAGAGTAGAGCCCTAGGATTTTGGACAGTTTTAATTTACTAAATGTATGGAGCACCTTGCTCAATAAGTATTTGCTATATAAAGAGACGTGAACTCAATCAAGTTCTAAATATAGTCCAGTGTATACTTGTTCTAATACAAGTGAAAATGTAAAGTTTAGAAAGAACACAGAGGAAGGTGTAAGTCAGTCTGGTGGCAGGTAGATGAATGAAATATGAAAGGGAGATGAGGGACTTCCCAGGCAGTCAGGTGGTTAAGACTGTGCTTCTAATGCAGGGGATGCGGGTTCATTCCCTGGTCAGGGAACTAAGATCCCACATGCCACGCAGCAAGGCCAAAAAATAAATAAAGATAATTAAAAAAAAAAAAAGGAAGATGATTAATGGTTTTTAGGGATGTATAAGAGTTGTCCATGTAGACAGACTCTGAGAGTAAATAACATTTGCAAGGGCAGTCACATGAGGCAATGTGTGTAGGAAGTGTAAAATCAGAAAGGATCTTCTGGTTTTGTTTTGTAGGCAGTGGGAGCTTTGAAAGGTTTTAGGCAAAGAAAAGATATGGTCAGATTTAATTATTAAAAAAACATTCTGGTAGCATTGTGCAGCATAGATAGAAGGAGTATGACAAGAGACCAGAATTATTTTAGTAGGAGACATTTGTAGAAGTTCACACGTGAGATGATGAGTCAAAGTACGACTGTAGATATGAGTACAGACGAGAGATAGACTAGAAAGATTTGCAATGTTTAAAGTCAGACTTGAAGACTGATTTGGTTATGTTGTATATGATAAGAGCCAAGGAATAGAGAAATATTACTCCTAGGTTTCCAACCTAGATGTCTGGGTGAATTTTAATACCACTCATTTAAATCGGAATTTAAGAAGAGGAACAAGTTCGTGGGATGAAGATAGATAGTTCCATTTTAAAGATGTTGTTTAAAGGTAACTTTGGGATATTCAGTAGAGCTGCTCAATAGAGAGATATGTAGATTTGATACTTACAGGAGAGGTACAGGTTGAAGATAGATTGCAGTGTATAGGTGAGAATTGCATCCAGTGTAGAATATGAGAATGTCAAAGGAGAGCTAGATAGAATGAGAAGAAAATAAAGTCAAGGGCAGAACACCTTAACCCAGAAAAAAATGCCAAGAATAGGTAGAGAAAGAAGAAACACTGAAGGTAGGTTAGAGAGCTTGGAGAAGGATGAGAAGAGAACAGTGTCAGAGAAGGCAAGGAGGAACATTTCTACAAGGAGGGCCAGATGCCAGAGAGGGTGAGTAAGAGGAGAACTAGGAGTTTCAGTTGGATTTACCATCAAGGTGAGAGCAGTTGTAGTGAAATGGTGAAGGTAGAAACCAGAATATAGTAAGTGTTCTGGAGAAGTAAATGATTGGCCACAAAGTGAAAACAATTAAATATGGATTAAGAAGTTTGGATGAGGATTAGGGGGTGGCTAGGTTGAAATAAAGAAACTTGGAACATTTTGTAGATGTAGGGAAAGGAACTGTCAGGAAAGGGGAGGAATTGCCAGATCAAAGTCCTGGCAGAGGGGCTGAGATCTAGAGTACAGCTAGAGCAACTGGTCCTTAAGAGGAGGGTCAGCTTGTCTCCAGAGGATGGAGGGATCACAGTGAGGGTGGAAATGGAAATAGATCTTGTAGTAAGGTTGTAAAATCATGGAAGATGATATCTGATGGCTTCAGTTTTCTTTGTTGAGAAGAAAGAATATCAGTTGTAGGTAAAGTTAGGAGCTTAAAGAAGGTGATAAGGATTTACAATAATAGAGTAATGCTAGAGAGAACTGATCAAGGACAAGTGAAAGAACTGACAAGACTAGTCAAGTTGGAAACCATAAATTTGGGATTGTAATGTTTTGCCTAACAGTATCAGTACTCTTCAGGCTCCTTGTCCTTTTTTTCACCTTTCACAAGGCCAAGGGTAGTACTCACCTCTATTCCACCACTTCTGTTTCACTTTCGGTATAGCTCTTCTTGGCAATAAATTGCCAGGTTCACAGCCTTTGAAGACTCAGACTTGAGATCTTCCTGTAAAGGCAAAGCATCTAAGAATTTTTCTGGTCCATTAGACTAGGTAAGGGAGTGGGAATTTACCCACTAAGGTCAAGAGGTACTTTAGAACAATACATATCCATGTGCTAAGATTATATTAGAGGGCTCTTGAGACACGCACAGTTCCCTAAACCAGCTGGCTTTGCAGCCCCTAAGCCTGAATTCTAGATTAGCTGCCTTTCATAGTCCAGCTTCTTGACCTGGGATTCCCCTGCTTGAGCTTTCTAAGTCTCTGCCTCTGTGATTCTTTAGAATCCTGGGTATGTTCACATCCCAACAATGGAAACATCTCAGCAACGATTTCTTAAAGACCCAGCAGGAGAAGAGGCACAGCTGGTTCAAGGCAAGTGGTACCATCAAGAAGTTCCGAGCTGGCCTCAGCATCTTCTCACCCATCCCCAAGTAAGTGTTTCTCCATGAGCTGGTTGTCTCTAATCACAGTGATCTCTTCTAAGCCCTCACCCCACCTTCTTGATTGTGTAAACTTTTCTGTCCTCTCCCTAGGTTCTCTGAATTCTGTACCTTTAACAACTAATACCATCTGCATGATCCTGTCCCCTATGTGTCTTTACCCTTCTACTCCTGACCCAGGAGTCATACCTTGTCCTTTATGTAAAATATAGTACCTAGTGCATGGTGTCTGGAGAAATATGTACTAATTTCTCCATCTTTTCTTTCTTTGACCCTCACCCTTATTCCCTATCCTAAGGAGACAGAGGCAGAGCTAATAGGCCCCAGCCCCTTGCTCTTATGAAAGAGCTCATTGATTTATTACCTGGGTTCTGGAAACAAATATCACTGCATTCTTTGACCCCAGACTTTTATTCTCCCCTTCCCTGCACTGTGAGCCTTCTGATCTTCCCAAAGGCAAATACAAACCCAGAGTTGTAGTTTTCCAGGTACCAGTACTGAGAGACAGACAGTAGGCTCTTTGGGGTCCAACTATTTCTTACCTAGTAGTTTAATCACATATATATTAATATAGACAACACACACATTGAGCAAGTGAAACAGGTATCCTTTCCAAGGTATCATTCCTTAGCTGGCCTAGATGCTGTAGAGAATGACCTAGGCTTTAATGACATAAAACCTGGCGTGTAGTGATCTAGTTGTTTTGACAGTTTGATCCAATGGAACTTTCCTTGGAGAGGAGTTGTGTTTTTTTTTTGACCGTGCTGTGTGGTGTGGCATATGGGATTTAGTTCCCTGACCAGGGATCGAATGCAGGCCCCCCTGGAGAGTCTTAACTGCTGGACCACCAGGGAAGTCCCTGCAGGCTTCTAGGGCTCATACCAAATCCTCAGTTTCATCACTTCTCTTTACTGTCTGTTCAGGTCTCCCAGTTTCCCTATCATACAGGACTCCATGCTGAAAGGCAAACTGGGTGTACCAGACCTTCGAGTTGGACGCCTCATGAACCGTTCCATCTCCTGCACTATGAAGAACCCCAAAGTGGAGGTGTTTGGCTACCCTCCCAGCCCCCAGGCAGGTCTCCTGTGTCCCCAGCACGCGGGCCTCCCTCCCCCAGCACGGACCTCTCCTTTGGTACATGGCTGAGGAGGGTTTGACTTGGTGTCAGAGGGTGGGAGGGGAAGTGGAATACAGCTTCTCAAAATGGGGTGGGAGTCTGGTTGTCCAGGCATCATAAACCAAATCTGGGCATGAATCTTGAATCAGTAGAATGGAACACATATTTTAATAGTTGTGAATTTATACCTACATAGTCTAGCATGCTTCTCTGATAGTATGTCACGGAGCAAAGTCTGGAGTTGGGCATCCCAGGGAGATGTTATGTTTAATTTTGTTAGGTTGTAGTTAGGACTTGGTAGTCAGCTACTTGACAAACATTCTATATCTACCTTGAAAAGGGTTAAGGACAGGTGAGCCTGTTCTAAGAGCCTTTGCCAAAAATGTCTAAAGGTCTTCCCTGCAGCTTGGGGATTACTTAGATTGAGCAGAGCTGGGGCTTAGCTACTTCAGGATAATTTTAGGTAATGGGCACGAGTGAGGTGTTTTTAGTCACCAGCTTCCTAGGAGGTTCATGAAGCCTTATTTTTTTTTTTACTCTCATCAGGTCAGTGGTCATTGCAAGAACATCCCCACTCTGGAATATGGATTCCTTGTTCAGGTAATCAAGTCCAAAGCTTCATTCCAAAGCCTTTCCACTGTTTTCTGACCCATCTGATCCCTTAACATCTCCCAACTCTTCAGTCAGTTAGCAAACATTTCCTAAAATCCTCTGTTCTCAGAACTATACTGAGTGTTGTGTGAATAGGAGAAAAGGCCTAGTTCCCACCCTCAAGAAGCTTATAGCATTATTGGGAAGACAACGCTTATGTACCACTTAGGATCAAGTGCCAAATGATGCACTACAAATTTTACGTGCACTAATGCCAAGATAAGAGAAGACTTGAGGCTGATTTTCTTATAATCCCCCACGTCCTTGCTCAAGTGGGCTTCGCTTTTCCTCACAAACTTCAGTGCTTAGCCGCTACTGGTCATTTGCTTCTCTTTAAAACCTCATTATCTTCCTGACACGGTTTCACTTTTGCATCTCCAGTGTCTTTGTTCATGTCATTCCCTCTACTGGCATTCCTCACTATATCTGCCTATTGTAATCAAGTCTCAGATGCCAACTTTTTCTTAAAATCTTCTCTATTACTTGAAATGTATTAGATGGAAATGTGTTTCCTCTCACTGAATTCTTTTGACACTTTTTGTTTTATATATTATATAGCTCCAATGTGTCAGGTACTATATGCTGCCTTGAATTGTAATTAATTTGTATACATACCACATCTCCCCCGTTGGACTATAGGGTCTGAGAGGATAGTCTTTTATGTTATTGAATAATAAAGGATACATTTCAGTGAGCTAGGGAAGTAGTAGGCATTCAACAAATCTGTGTTAAATGAACAAATGCCCTTGCGTGTCCATTTACGATCTCGAAAGTTTGTGAAATGGGAACTATTTGACTTATATGGACAGTGTATGTGACTGTGAAAGCCTTTTAAGACAGATTGTGTAAAAAATAGTTTATGATATTGCCTCATGAGCTCTGAATTTGTGCTTTCTTCCCAGCAGTTTTATTTGTGGTCTTGATCATTTTATAGGCTGATTGTCCTAGGCAGTTAAACATGGCTTCTCAGCACCACCCCCACCCCAGCTCCAACCCCCGGCGCCATCTGATCATGGACTGAATGAAAACTCACTTGTCACATGGGAGCAATCTAATTACTGCAAATAATATTAATAGTTTGATTAGTACTTCTTACTGTTTATAAAATACTCTTACAGAAATCATCTCTTTAATCTCAGTACTTCTGTAAAGTGAGTAATGTCCATTTTGTACATGAAGAAACCAAGGCTCAAGTTAACTTGCCCCAAGTTATATATGGTATTAAGTAGTAGAAGGGAGAATATTAATCCAATTCTTCTGCCATGGCTGGTCTCATTTTCATTATATATAGTCTTCCAGAGTTGGGCCATCAGTTTAATTAAGTGCAGGACCCAAGAATACAGTCTACCTTAGGCACAGGGCTGGGAGGTAGGAGAGTAATAGAAAGGAAGTTCAGATTGTTTCCTATATCTGGGTCTTGACTTCCAAAAAAAGACTTAATAGAATCTCCTCTCTCCCCAGATCATGAAATATGCAGAGCAGAGAATCCCAACATTGAATGAATACTGTGTTGTATGTGATGAGCAGCATGTCTTCCAGAATGGGTCCATGCTCAAGGTATACACCTCTATTTTGTGACCCTCTTTCTTACACTGTTAGCTAAGGCCCATTAGTTCCTCATCTCTCCATTTTTCCTTTCTTCTTGGATCTGTGGTGAAGGTAGAATTCTGTCCATACTCCCTGAGACTCTGGAAGTAATAGTTTTTCTCCAAAAACAAGTCTCAGCAGTCCCATTTGGAAAGATGAGGATATGTGAATATCAGTCTAGAGTTGTCTGAGGTCAGAATTGTCCCTCTTGCCCTATGACACCTTCATATTGCACACCACCACCATCTCTCTTTTTTTTTTCCATCTCTTTAATATGTCCATTCAGCCAGCCGTCTGTACTCGTGAGCTGTGCGTTTTCTCCTTCTACACGCTGGGAGTCATGTCCGGAGCCGCAGAGGAGGTGGCCACTGGAGCGGAGGTATGGGGGATGGAAGAGCTGCTGGGGAATTGGGGTCATTTATGGCTGAGAGTCACAGCCGTTTCACTGCTTGGACTTTAATCTCCAGAAATGCTTTCCTATGTAAGGACGTTCACTGTAGTGGGTTTTTTTTTTTTTTTTTAATATTTTCTTAAGTTTTGGCTGCGCCACATGGCTTGTGGGATTTTAGTTCCCTGACCAGGGATCAAACTCATGCCCTAGGCAGTGAAAGCTCAGAGTCCTCTAGACTGCTGGACTGCTAGGGAATTCCCTAGTATTGTTTATAATAGTTGAAAAAAGAAAAAATAGATACAAGCCCATCTGTACAAGGTCCAGTTAAAGAAATGATGGTTTGTTCTTACAGTAGAAATACTATATAGCTATTATTTATGGATAGAGAATTATAACATATATAAATAAAAATATATAACAGTATATATAATTCTTTAAAATTTGCTTATATAATAAAATAACAATTACTTTAGGAAAAATATTTGGAAAAATACAGGTCAAACTTTGCAGTAGTTAATGTGAAGAATGAGATTTGGGGTCAAGGGGATGGTTTTTGTCTTCTTTTAATCATTCTTTTAAACACTGTTCTTGAATTTTTATGATAAGCTTGTATTTTCTAATAAAAAAAAATTTGTAGTTTTTAAAATTTATTTTATTGAAATATAGTTGACTTTATACTGCGTTAGTTTCTGCTACACAGCAAAATGATTCTGTTATACATGTATATGTACATTCTTTTTTGTATTCTTTTCCATTATGGTTTATCACAGGATATTGAGTATAGTTCCTTGTACTATACAGTAAGACCTTGTTATTTATTCATTTTATACATAATAGCTCACATCTGCTAATCCAAAACTCCCCGTCTGTCCCTCATATTTGTTTTTGAAAGGAGAAATACCGAGCGCCTCCAGAAGGTAGACCTATGCTGGATACTGTACAACTCCCAGCCCTGTGAAATCGTTTAGCTTTTGTCCCCTTTCTTTCCTTTCTCCTAAGGTGGTGGATTTGCTGGTGGCCATGTGTAGGGCAGCTTTGGAGTCCCCTAGAAAGAGCATCATCTTTGAGCCTTATCCCTCTGTGGTGGACCCCACTGATCCCAAGACTCTGGCCTTTAACCCTAAGGTATAGTTGCTTGGGAAGAAAGTCAGGACTAAGGAACAGAGATGGTGAAAGACAGTGGGAGACTGTAGGCTGTCATTCTAGTGTACACAGCAACTTGGAATAAAGGGACAGAAGAAATGGCACACTTGTTTCTTGGGAACTCTTGAACCCTAAGATTTAACTGTTTAGTGAATAAGTAGCTAAACATAACTAATTATATAAGGTTAACTTCTGAGTTTCTCAGAAGACAGGGAGACAAATTAATATTAGTTACGTTGGAATAATACAGACTTTGAAGCCAGACAGACCTTTATTCCATTTGAGGTTCTGCTGCTCCCTAACACCCTGAATGGTGTTAGGCAGATCACTTAACCTTTCTGAACCTCAATTTCTTTATCTGTAAAAAGTGGATAATATCTATTATTATGAAAATGAGACATAATGTATATAAAATATTGTAATACTTACTGTTCTTCAGAGAAACAGAACAATAGGAGATATATAGAGAAAGAAATTTACTGTAAGGAGTTTGCTCCTGTGATTATGAAGGCCGAGAAGTACCAGGTTGAGTAGTGGGTGAGCTGGAAATTCAAGAGAGCTGATGTTGTAAGTTCCAGTTCAAAAGCCAGCAGACTCGAGGCTGAAGAGCTGATTTTTCAATTCTAGTCTGAATGCAGGAAAAGACCATGTCCCAGCAATCAGGCCAGAGGAGTTTACTCAGCTATTTTGTTCTATTCAGGCCTTCCAACTGATTAGATGAGCCACCTTAATAGTGATGGCAGTCTCTTTTACTCAATCTGCCATTTCATCTAGAAATACCTTCACATACATACCTAGAATAACACTCAGTTAAATGTTTGGGCACTTCATTTCCCGATGGACAGTTGACAGCTGCTGAAAGAGCCGTCACACGTGTCCAGCACAGCACTGCGCAATTGCTCATTTCTGCGTGTCAGGCGCAGTACCAGGTTCTTTACATGTTAGTTAGTCTTCACTTTAAATGACTAATCCTGTGAGGGCAGTGAGGACTTTTTATCTTTACTTATGTACATGGATACTGAGGTTCTAAGAGGTTAAGTAACTTATCCCTGTTACTCTCAGCTGGTAAAAGAGAACTGGCATGTGATTGTAGAACTTTTTGACATTAAGTCTGTGTTCTTTTCATGACATACTATGCTGTTTCCCTGGGGCCTAGATTTCTTTTGTACATGTGGCCCTCTTTTTCATCACATCTTACTCTCTTCCACTTTTCTTCACCTGGTTCTTCTTTCCCTGTTGATTCCCCACAGAAGAAGAATTATGAGCGACTGCAGAAAGCTCTGGATAGTGTGATGTCCATCCGGGAGATGACCCAGGTATTCTGTCCTCTGCCTGTCCCCTGCCTGCCCACTCAAGTGCCCTATTCTGTTTGAAATTCATTGGAGTGGAGTGAAGATTTAGAGATGCTATTCAAATTCCTCACTGTATTCTCTTTAGTTTTCCCTCTTTAGCTTTTCTAGTCTTTGTTCTCTGGTTTGTTAGCTCTGTTACTCCTATTTCTCACTCCTTATGTCTCTCTCGACCTTTCCTTTGCTGCTAATTCCGTCACAAGTTGTTCCTATTTAATGTTTTTTTTCCGTAATTCTTAGGGCACTAGAGAAGTTAGGGAAGGACTTCTGTCCAGGGTTGGGAGGGTGAGGAGGGGGGCTTGGAGGTAAGGAACTAGACCCAGGGGCCTGCATCTTCTATCCTTCTAGGGGTGGGGCAGCCACATGGAGCAGTGACCATCCTTTGACTCAAGGCTGTCCCTCACCAGACTTCCCCACCCCTCGTCTGCAATCTCTGCATGAATAGACATTCATTTGTACTCACATTTACAGGTGGGCCTCTTCTCAGCAAATCCTATATATCACAGTTCAGATTAACACATAACATACACCTAGGAGGGATGATTTATTTGTCAGAAGAACTCTGTTTTATGTAGTTTTACCACAGGATTCCTTAGCCTGATCTTTCTGGGACATTGATTTTATTTACTTATTTATTTTTTTTGATTTATAATCAACTTTTTAGGGCTGTAGGAATTGCATAAAATGAGGGAGACCCACCTGCATGTTGTTTTGTAAGCATCTTCAGTCATTTTCATATTTATTTATGAGTTTTCCCAGCCTGACGGGTCCTTGAGGGTGGGAACCCCATCTCCTCTTAGTTTGGTGTGGTCTTCAGTGCCTACCTTGCCCCCGGCCCTGATAGTCTGTTGAAAGTGGGAGGGCTCCCACCTCTTCTGGGAGATAACCTTACGGCCCTTGTCTTACAGGGCTCATACCTGGAAATCAAGAAGCAGATGGACAAGCTGGATCCCTTGGCCCATCCTCTCCTGCAGTGGTATGAGTAGAATGGTTCATCCTTCAGCAGTTGGGGGAATGGGGCATAGTATCAGACATGGAGCCTATACCTTCTCTTAGAGGTGGTTTCAACATCGTTCCTAAGATTGTAGATATTATGGCTGCTTTTTCTTGGGGTTTTATTGATATATCTGGTTTGGCTAGGAACTGGGATCCAACAAAAACCCCACAAGTTCTAATACAATGTTTCGGGTTCTCAAAGTTTCTTGTTTCCCAGTAGGTTTTTGAGTGCTGCTTGCCTATAGGAATTAACACTTCATTTCAATTAGATTTTCTCTGCCTGCAGAGAGGTCTCCTTCTATCTACTCCCTTTCTGTATCTCAAGCCCTTCCCTGTTGATGTTGACTGTCCAGGGCCTTGGAGCACTATTACTACTCCCTTCTCTGAGCAAAGGTTCTGACCTTGTATTTCCTTTCTACTTCCCTTCACTCCCTGCTCTCCCTCCCTGACCTTGATTTCTGTTTTCTCTTCTTGGCATAGCTTTCCCTTTCTAGCCTACTTTGCTCTGTCAGGTCAGCCTTTGATACTAGTACTTTTTCAGTGCACTATGCTCCCTTTTAGCATGAGGAATGACCAGGCGTAGACCGTTCAAGATGGCATTACAGGTACATGAGTGAAGCACACAGCCAACCAGATAACCACTCTAAGAGATCATGCCCTTGCTGAGTCCTCAGTGGCTCATGCCTTTGTTCTCTCCTGTCCTCTTGAGTTCAGCCTACATACAGGCCAGTATGTCCCTGAATTCTCACAAAGTTCGTTCTAGTTTCTTCTGTTTTTTTCTGCAGCTCCGACAATAACTGTCCATTCCCCCATCTCTGAGAGCCTTCAGTCTTTCTCTGGGCTCAGAGAGGACGGCTCCTGAGCCCCTGTGCTAAGGTTCTAAATCCCAAATGTAAGTTGTCACCATCCTAACACAGACCCACCTCTCTAATTTTCTTTGGTAGCTGACCTCGTATGCTCTTCTTTTTGTTTCTTTACTTTTCTCTCCCTGGATGTAGCAGCCCACCTCCCACCCCTCTCTTTCTTTCATCTGTTGTTTACCCAGTAACTAGCTGGTCTCTGGTCAGTAACTTCTTTTACATTTTTATACACAAACATTACCACCCACAGGAATATCCAGTAGTGTCCTGGCTTCATAGTTCAAACAACCCTGGAATCCTTGCTTATTCTCCAAGGGGCAGAGCAAGGCTGCTGCTTTGTTTAGGATGGCCTAACCACATGGAAATGGCAACCCACTCTAGTATTCTTGCCTGGAGAATCCCATGGATGGAGGAGCCTGGTGGGCTATAGTCCATGAGGTCGCAAAAAGTCGGACATGACTGAGCAACTTAACTTAACCACATGTTTATATTCTGTCCTTTTTGGTTTTTTCTCTGTTTTATCCTAGGATCATCTCTAGCAACAGGTCGCACATTGTCAAACTACCTCTCAGCAGGGTAAGTGACCATTCTTCGTCTAAGCTCTGAATTTCTAGTGAGGGGCAAAGAGGGGCTCCAAACCAGCTAATCACATTGGTCTCCTAGACCTGCCTAGTTATACTTGTCCATCAACAGTAGTCTTTGGGCCAATGCATTTTTCCTTTATTTGGGATCAGTACAAGCCTAATTTGCTCCCTATCCCCAACCTTTCCCTCCCTGATCTCCCATTTCTGTTCTGTTTTCCTGACCCCACCCCCACCCTGGGCAGCAGCTGAAGTTCATGCACACCTCACACCAGTTCCTCCTGCTGAGCAGCCCTCCTGCCAAGGAGGCTCGGTTCCGGACCGCCAAGAAGCTCTATGGCAGCACCTTTGCCTTCCAGTGAGGAGTGGGGCAGGGCTGGGGCTGGGTGCTGGATAAGGCAAGAAAAATGGGGGGATGGGGGCAAGTTCACTTGAGGGATAGGAGTCTGTATGACCTACGTCCATCAACCAGTCAGTCAACGTATTAAATGTTACTGTGGTAGGTGCTGTAGAGGATAAAGATACTTAAGATATGGTCTTTAATCTTAAGCTATTTAGGATGTAGTTGAGGAGAAATTACATTTACATATAAAAAGATGTGGTTGAAGGTAGATTGCAGGGATAGATTTGAAAACTGCTTTGAAGATCAGCAATTTATGCCTGATTTTGAGAGAAGAGAGAAAAAAAATAGATTAAGAGTAACTTAAGAGATGTGAAGTCATGATTGGAAGCCATATTTGGGATCAGTGATAAACCCATTGAGTTTGAGATAAATTTGTTTAATTTGAACTATCAGGATGATAGGCAAATGAAAATATTGAACCAGCAATTGAGGATTTAGGATGGGACTGTTTGAAGCGTGGAAGAGAAGATAGGCCTGGATATTAAGATGTAAGGCTTAGCCATACACACAATCTTCCATGCCTATAACTATATCCATGTGCATGTCCATCGCTGGCTTCATCCGTGTCCATCTTCATGTCCTGTGTGTGTGAGAATGGGTGGGAGTGGCAGTCTTGGAATTTTCTTGGGAATTTCATTCCATGAGGAGACATGTATTCTACACTGCCTTACAGTGGGTCCCACATTGAGAACTGGCATTCGATCCTGCGCAATGGGCTGGTCAATGCATCCTACACCAAACTGCAGGTGAGGCTGTGCTCCTTTTCCCTTTCTCTCCACCTTCTCCCTGCCCCACTCGTTTTGGGGAAGTCTGCTCTAAAGTACTCAACTGTGTTTGCCTCGGCATCCTCAAACCTATCCTCCTGTGAGGCTTTCCTAGGGAGGAAGTTGAAACTATATATATAGAATGAATATGGTGGTTGTATTTTGACCTGAGGCTGTGTTTTTAGGAGTGGGAATATAGCTGTAGGCAGAAATAGAAATTGCTGATTGCAATCACTGTGATCAACGAACCTGTTAGAGCTTTTCAATATATGTGACTATTCAGTCAGAGAGTTGATATAGGAGACTTATTTCTTTGTCCTGCAAGACTCCAAGGAGTGATTATTATTCCTCTTTCTGGCTGCCTGTTCTGCATTCATTTTTAGAGGGCAGGGATCTGCATATGTACCCAGGCCTATGGCAAGAGCGTGGGTTCTGAGTAACTGACTCAGTGGCTATGCCACTCATCACTCTCCAAGGAATCAATATCTAGTATTTCATAGGCAAAGGTGTTAACCTGCATCCACTTTTCAGCTAATCAGCTTTTCAGGCGTAGGTGCCTAAAGTTATCTGAATGAGTGAGAAGATTAAATGGAGGGACAGAGGGCTGGATAAGCCTTGTGGCTGCCTAATACACAGCCATGGGAGGGCCCAGGCTCATATTGCTCATCCTGGTGTTTCCCTGCAAGCTGCATGGAGCAGCCTATGGCAAAGGCATCTACCTGAGCCCCATCTCCAGTATTTCCTTTGGATACTCAGGTAAGAAATAATCTTTGGCCACATTGCCTCTATTTACATTGCATCCATTTTGTGAATACGTAAACCTATGCTGTCTCCTCTTCCATCATGGATACTTGGTCTGTGTCAGCTCTCTCCCCAATCGTGAATACATAATCTTTCTCTTTTTTCTTTCAATAGGAATTTAGATTATTTCTATGGTGAGGCCAATTATCTCCCTTTCTCATAGATACCCTTTTCTCCATTAATAAAACCCTTCACTGTGGGACCTTAGCCCTAGGAGTGGGTTAAGGAATTACTGGGAGATGACTCTAGACTCTGGAGAACACATTTTCGGTGCTGACAACAGCCTGTCAGATTGCGTATGTGCACACATGGGTGCGAGTTGATACATGAGTGCACTTGAAGTCTTGAGTCCCTTCCACTGGCTTATATTTCTGGAGGCATGGTTCTCCTCCCTGTCAACCACTTTTTAAAATTTAAACTGTCTGTAATTATACACTATTACATTAGTCACATTGAAGGCAAGAGGAAGCATTTTATTCCAAGGATAAGGTATGAGCAACATCCAGATTCTAGTTAGGAGATGAGTCCCACTTTGTCCAGCTCAGAAAAGAAATCTGACTTAGCTTTCTCATTGTTACAAGTTTATATCTGAGTTCTTCTCAGTCTTTTTCAGTTCAGGTTCTGTATAGTCTTTGTATAAGAGAAAGCCACCATATAGTCTCATGTCTACCATATGAAGGGGCCAGTGCTAGATTCTTTATAGATTTAGTATTCTCCATTAATGTAACTGTTACAAAAATAAGAACACTTAGCTCCAGAATAACAGAACTATGATGAAAAGGTCTCTAATGACACAATAAACCAAACAAAGAAGGAGAAAGGAGATAATATAAATAAGAATCAAAATTAATGAAATAAGAACAGGTACAATAGACAGGCCCCCCAAAAAACCAAAAGATGGTTCTTTTAAAGAACTAACAAAACAGATAAACCTGGGTAGATTGATTAAGAAGAAAAAGAGCAGCATTAAATAATATGAATAAAAAAGGGAACATAATTATAGATATAGCAAAGTTTTATTTATTTTTACTTTTTATTACTATTATTATTTTTTTGGCTGCACCACACGGCATGTGGAATCTTAGTTCCCTGACCAGGGATCAAGCCTGCATTTCCAGCATTGGAAGCCCAGAGTCTTAACCACTGAACTGACAGGGAAGTCCCAAAATTTTAAAAGCTAATAGAATTCTGTCAACTTTATGCAAATGATTTGAAAATTTTGTCAAGATGGATAAATCCCTAAAAAAATATAACTTAACAAAACTGATTCAAGAAGATAATAGAAAACCTGAATAGCTCTAACATAAAAGACATTGAAATAGTAGTTTAAATTTTTCACAACAAAACAAAAACCTTGCCAAATCCAGGTAATTTTACAAGTGGATCTTAAGTCAAACTGAAAAGAACAAATTATCCCAATCTTAAGCAGAATCATCCAGAGAATACAAAAAGATGGAATTACAAATCATAAAAGATTGGTAAATTTGATTTTATTAAAATTATAAGTTTCTGTTCATCAGAAGACACCTTAAAAAGGCATCTTACAAACTAGGAGAAGACATTTGCAACACATATAACTACAAAAGATTAGTAATAAAAGTGCATTATAAATTCTTGCAAATAAGAAAAAGACAACCCAATTAAAAAACAGGCAAATAACACAGGCAAGTTACTGAAGAAATGACCAAAAATATGAGCAGCTACTCAGCCTCTATTAATCAAGGAAGTAAAGGCAAGACCAAAATGACATACCATTTAGCACCTGTGTGGATTGGCAAGAATTAAAAAACCCAGTAATACTTCTGATTGTACCAAAGGTTGTAGATCAGCAGGATATCTTTTATTGCTTATGGAATATAAATTGGTACAGTCACTTTGGAAAACAGTTTGGTGTTACATTTCATAAAGCTTGAGAGATATTATCCCTGCAACCAAGCATTTTCATTTCTGAATATGTGCACCCGAAGTATAGTATTGTTTGCAACAACAAATCTTAGAAAAAAAACTCATACTCATCATCAGGAGAAGGGATAAATACATCATAATCTATTCTGACAATAGATTATTATTCAGCAATGACAGTGAACCAACAGTGGCATTCAGCAACATGGAAAAAATGTTAAGTGAATAATGGTTGAATTGAAAAAAAAAAAAAGGCAAAAGGCAAAGGACTACTATATGATGCCTTTTTTATATTGCCCAAAAGTAGACAAAATTATTTAGCTGTGTGTGTGTGTGATAAAACTAAAGGAAAAAGAAGAAAAATAACAACCTAAATTTCAGAATAGTGGGTATCTCCCAAGTGGAGGCAGATATTGGGATAGGGTTAGGAGCATTTAGATGTAAGTCACTGATAATATTTTAGTTCTTACGTCTGTTCTTAGTTCATTGTCCTGTTAAACAAATGATAGTATGTCTATGAGTAATCCACAAAGGGTAGGTGCCCAGTGAATATTTATTGAATGTGTGAATGAATCTTACTCTGTGTGCCTAGAGTCCAGAGTGGGGGTGGGATTGGGGTAGTCTTGGCTTTGTCTAGATACCGCAGTTTTTATCTTTGTCCCAGCCTAAGCTTCTCTCAAATTAATCCCTTATTTTAAATAGTGAGTCTCCTGGCTTCTGGTGGCCACAAAAATCTTTTTTGTTGTCTGTTTTTTCCCTATTCTCCTCTCCCATTGGCCTTTGTTTACTACTGAGTGCCTGAATACCTTTAGTTATCAGATGGAGCTAGGAATCTCTATTGACTTCTTAACTTTCTTCATTTACTGATTATGTAAAAACGTCATATGGCACCATCCTTCTCCCTCCAAAGGTTGATTGTAGATACAAAATACCATGTTTTTCTATTGTAGCTATATAATAGCTACATTTTGTTCATTTTGTTCAATCTCTTACTACTTTTCAGATAAAGTAGATACACAGAAAAGTTAAATGTCTTTCTTGGGTCACACGGATCTAACTAGCAGAGTTAGGACTGGAATCCAGTTCTCCTGACTTTTAGGCCAGTGTTCTTATCATTATATTGGACTGACAGGGCAGGCTTTGCTTGAATAACTGGTTTTCTGAGGGCCCCATGGATATGTGAGAGTGTTCTTATCATTATATTGGACTGACAGGGCAGGCTTTGCTTGAATAACTGATTTTCTGAGGGCCCCATGGATATGTGAGAGTCTCTAACTCTGGATGGGATGTGTGTAAATGTCTGACTTATAGCATATAACTAACTCTATCTTCTTTGTATGTTTCCTTCTACCCTTTTCCGCTCTAGTTTTTTGTATTTTTCCTCAGGGTATCCAAGTCCCTTCTGAGGGGTCATTGTAAATAGAGAGCATCCATTTGACTAGCGGAGCCTCTAAAGACTTGGCCATAGTGTGCAGGTTAAAATGAGGAAGAGTGGGAAAGGAGATGGTAAGCCCCATCTGTTTGTTCAGTCATTTAGAAACTTGTCACAAGTATATACTCTGGACACCGTGCAACCGGGAGTCTTGTGGCCTCTGGGTTCTCAGTGTGTCTGGGCCCAGGAAACGGAGAGAAGATGATCGGGGTTATTACAGTCAGCACAGTGCACGGCAGGACTGGGATGGAGCAAGATGTGAATTACATCAGAAGGGCCACCTCTAAGACCAGCCATAGAAATCAGATTGTTCTCTCAGCCTCTGAGGTAGAACCTAAATGGGAATTTTACTCAGAACCATGCACTGAAATACCCAGGCTGAGAAGGTTATCATGTTTGGATGCAGAGCTGAACTTAGTTAAGGCTAATGAAGAAGTTGGAAATAGAGGATGGTGGGCATTCCTGTAGGAGAAGGAAATTGGCAGTTCAAATCTTGAGGTTCTCATTGCCTTAACTTTTATTCAAGCCATAAATCTGTCATGGGGCTTCAGTGTGAGTGCATGATGAATTGACAGCCTGAGTAGTGAAGAATGTCAGTCCAGTGGTTATCATCCTTGCTTCTATACCATGGTTACCACAAAACCAAGACTTGCAGCAGAGTGGAGTTAGTCATAATAGAAAGTGCCAGGGTGACCCTGCTTCTGGTCTGCAGTAATAGCATCATTTCCCATCTTCATCTCCCTCTCTGGTCTCATGGTCTCATACACACATACACAGACTCACCCCTTACCGTGATAAGGCTGGGCCTGTGATAAAGCTGAATACAGAGACTGGAGTCCTAATCATGGGACAGAAAGAGTTGGGAATAGGGGTCCACAAGCACTGTTCCGTATCTAAACAGGAAGAGTCCAGAGTGAGTCTCTAAATGTTATAAACAGGGCTGTTCAATGAGGGTTAAGGATGGTGGAGGATTTATGGATTTCGAAAAGATGAAAGCAAGTAAATTGGTACCTCTTCCTCAAGTCTGGGAAGACACTCTGAAGGAAGCAGGACTCTTCAGGGTAGTTGCCATTGTGGTTACCTGTGTAAAATGATTCATCAGTTGCCTGTTCTGCCTTCTCCCTTTAGTCTGAATGACTCTGGTCAGAGCTCTTTATGTCACTGAAACTGGAGCAGATATGACGTGCTCTGCTTGCTTTCTTCCACTCATTTCACTCAGCCTGGCATCGGACCTGAAATGTTGATGTCACCACTCTCCTAGGCCCCTCATTCCTTGCTCATTTCACCTCTTACTCCCTATCTCAGAATCCGTCAGTGATTCCTTGATGCTCTCAGGATAAACTCTGGTTGCCTTAACATGGCCTGCAAGGCCTGCTTGATCTTATCCTAGCTTACCTCTTCCCCCCATCATCTCTCATCACTTCTCTGCCATTGACCATGCTCCATACAAACTAAGGTACACTGTTGTGTCTTTCTTCCAGGCCTTGCATGTCCTGTTATCTTGGCCTAGAACACTTCCTTCCTTTTCATTTAGCTAACTCTTCCTAATTCAGTAGTTCTTAGCCTAGCTGTCACCAGGAAGCCCTCTTCAAACCTGTGGGCTAGGCTAGTTCCCCTCCTCTGGCTTACTTAGTACTCTGTATCATCCCCATCATAACCCCTACCATGCTGTGTCATGATTATTTGTTCCTTTCCTGTAATCTCCATCAGGCTAAATTCTGTGAGGGCAGATATACTGTTTGCTTATTTCACTGCTATGTCACCAAGTGTCTGTAGCTCCAGTGCCTGGCACATAGTAGGCACTAGTAAATATTTGATGAAGGAATGGGTGAATGAACTGGCTTGTTTTTCTGTGACAGGAATGGGAAAAGGACAGCACAGGATGCCCTCCAAAGATGAGCTCGTCCAGAGATACAACAGAATGAATACCATTCCCCAGGTATTATTAGTTGCCCTTGTTCCACTGAGGCAGGACACATCCCCTCGGATAAGTTTAGGCTATACAGAGATGGATGGGGAAACACTGGTAGTGATGAGGGTGGGTGGCTTATAGATCATTTCAAGCAATCAGGTACGTTCTAAGAGGAACCCATTTCCAGTCATTTGTGGCTTCAGTCATGAGTATGAGTTCAGAGACTGAGTTTATTAAATCCAGTGACATGAAAATGTAAAGATGGAAGCTTGGACTCGTCGAGACGGATTATGAAAATCAGAAATTTTGGGAAGCGGCTGGAAGCCCAGGATATCCCAGCCCCTACCCTGATAACTACAACCAGTTAACTCACCTCTCTAGGGAAAACTGTAACCATCTACCTGGCTCTGTTCTCTCCTAGACCCGATCCATTCAGTCAAGGTTCCTGCAGAGTCGGAATCTAAACTGCATAGCACTTTGTGAAGGTAGGTAGCTCACCCAGTCCCTGTTTTTGTGGGTGCCCACCTTTATTTCTGGTGCCACTTTAGCACATGATCCAGCCAAGGGTGATGTTGAAGCATCTTACCTTCCCCACCCCCCCCCACACCCCCTCCCCGCCTGGACTCTCTGACCCAAGCATTATACCTATAACTTCTGGCCCTTCTCTTCCTAGTGATTACATCTAAGGACCTCCAGAAGCATGGGAACATCTGGGTGTGCCCTGTGTCCGACCATGTCTGCACACGGTTCTTCTTTGTGTAAGTCTAGGAGGGTACCTTGGGAATTACTTGGAGAAGTGAGGGTGAGAGCACAATGATATGGACTACTGGGAAAGTCTGTTTCTGTTATTGGAGACGTCCCTGGCTATCTGAGTAGAGCCAGAACTGGGACTTTCCCCTTGGAGGATGAGGATGGGTATAAATCAAGGTCTATTTAGAGAAAACCAGATAAACTCTTCCACCCTAAAGAGTAGCAAGAAAGGGTTTTGTTCTGGGATGGGATGGCCACACCCCTAAATGCAGGTCCATGGGTTGACATTATTCTGGGATTGGGCTCCCTCTTATGCTCACGTTTGCATTATCTTTGGCAGATATGAGGATGGTCAGGTGGGCGATGCCAACATTAATACTCAGGACCCCAAGATACAGAAGGAAATCATGCGTGTGATCGGAACTCAGGTTTACACAAACTGAGGGGGCCCCAGCCCTCGTACCACCCCTGTTCCCCCAGGATCCATCTGCCCTCATAGAAGGGCTCAGGAGCAGCAGACAAGTCTGCCCTGAGGACTCAAGGGGCCATTACCAAGGGGCAGGAAAAAGGTAGACGAGGCGGCCTTCATGGTGGAGACTGACCCAGGAACCACTCCACATTTGGATGGCCCAGACTGACTCCTTACCCCGGTTTTCCCAGTTGAACTTCACCCTGTTTGTAAATAAAACAATAAAATGGAAGGTGCTGTGGACTGGATATGATCACTGTGGTCTGACTAGCCTTGGCCCAGCACCTGCTGCCCCAAGCCCCCAAATGGGGGTAGGGGTGGGGAGAGTGGAACATCACGGGGGCTGGGACTATTTATGTTGGATGGAGTCAAAGCTAAGTCCATCTAGTATAGTATCCTATAGATCTGTCAACATTTTATTCAACGGATTAGATAAAGGAAACTTACGCATATGACACAAACTGAGAATGATACAGAATATCACTGGTGACTCTTCTTCAAGATTTAAAAGGACCATTGAGGCCACAGTAGCTCAGATTTCCTATCTTTAGGACCTCTATTTTCTGCACAAAACCTATCCTCTCCTTTGCACTATATCTTGGTGGCTGGGCCCTACTCTCTTCCTCCTCCTCCTCCCAGCTATTTCTTTGCGATAAGGGAGGTGGAGGGAGAGCTGACAGCTCTCTAACTTGAAATCCAGTTTCCTTTAATGAAACAAAATCCAGATTCTTCAAAGTTAGCAATGTGAGAGAAGACAGCTGTTTCTCTGAACATCTAATTTTTCAGTGAAAGCCATCTCCTTGTTGAAATTCTCACTGCCAACCTTCTGGCCTTCAAGCTGTGCTCCATGTACCTAAAACCCTAAAGTTCTAAGAGACAAGTTGGATATTGCCAGTTTTACGAACTGTTAATGAAGAAAAACAGGAATATAAGCACAGAGACTACAAAAAGCTTTAAACAAGCCTGACTTTCAAGTATTGGCTTTCTAAAAATGGTTACAGCTTCTTGATTTATACGGCCTGTACTAGACTACCTGTTGTCTTTCATTATGGGTGTGTGCTTAGTCATTGGTTGTGTCCAACTCCCTGTGACTCCATGGACTATAGCCCTTCAGGCTTCTCTGTCCATGGTATTTTCCAGGCAAGAATATTGGAGTAGGTTGCCATTTCCTACTCCAGGGGATCTTCCTGACCCAGAAATCAAACCCACATCTCGGGCGTTAGCAGGTGGAGTCTTTACCTCTGAGCCACCTGGAAATCCCCCATTAGGCAGTCCATCCTAACTGAAATTCCAGCCTCCTTGAAGGACCCTTGCAGCTCATCTGTATAGTATCAGAGATAGTTTTTTTCAGAGATAACATTTTTCAGTTCTTATTAGGTAGGTGCTGGGCATTATGCTAAGCGCTTTTAATACTTTGCTAATACCTTGACTTACTGTGTTCTTGGTATTGTTGTAAGCGTTGTACACATGCGGACTAAAATAATTCTGTAAACAAGCCTATGAAGTAGATGCTATTATTCCCATTTTGTAGATGAGAAAGCAGACACAAAGGATAAGCAATATGTCCATATTCCATAGCTAGTGACAGGCAGCCTGACTCCAGAACTGCTGTTCTGTTTCTGTGCTATGTAGCCTTTCAAACTTTACATCATTTTTTTATTTAAACTTGACAACAAAGATGGAAGATAGGTTTTTTTAAAGGGATCTTAAATAACATGGGTAACGTCTCCCAACTGGTTAGTGGCCATGCTGGGTTTTTAACTGGAGTTGCTCAACTCCAGGACCTGAGCTCTTAACACTTTTTTACTTCTGTAGGGATTCTCTAACTGCTCCCACTAGTGTTCCAGCAATTGAACCTAGGTGCTTGGCTAGACAGCATTTTTGTTCAACTTTCAGAAATTGTTGATAGATTTTTTTTTTTTCTCATTTGTAACCATTTCTTACAGTTCTTACCAGTGGCATCTGATAAAACGAGTACTAGCAAATGATGGAATGAGAAGTAATAAACAGACAATGTGTGTTACCAGAAAATCAAAAAAACCTGAACTGGCCTCATGGGAATCCCTTTCTTAATAGCATATGCACAATAGTCTCTTAATGCCAATAAAACTAATGAAATTAAATATACTATTTTATAGTGTTCTACATAGTAGCAATAGGACTTTTTGAATCTGAGAAGTCTAAAAGCCATATAACCATATCTGAAAAAATTCAAAACATGTACACTGTAAAACAAGCCTAATAAAAACCCGCAGCATTCCTGTAACAAGAATGCTTTTATTGCAGGGAAAATTGCATGGGGCCCTGAGTTTCTGGAGGGGAATCCTCCTACAGCCTGGAGTGGGAGTTGAAGGATTGCCCCTTTCTCCCACCCAGGCCTGGCTGCCTTGGAGTTGGGGTGGTGGAGCCTGTGAAAGCCAGGTCTGAGCAGGAGATCCTCCTTCACCAAAGCCAGTACAGACACTATGCACAGAGGTTGATGGTTGCCTCCTACCTTCCACGTAGTCCTGGACTCAAGCAGCTTTACTCGGTTAGACCTGGACATGCTGTGTTAGGGCTAGGGCTGTGTAAACAACTGTGTTCTTCAATTAGTTCCAGGTGGAGAGTAGATGGCTGTGATTTCTGGATTGAAAACTTAAAACTCCTAGAGTTTAGCCTTCCACTTCCCTCTCACAGTAATTTTCCACTTTCCAGGCAGGGCGTGGCCATGACTCAGTTTGTGGTGAGAATGTGGCCATCCGTAGGGAGGAGCCTTCTGGATTCTGCCTTTCATTCTGGGGAGAGGAAGGGAAGAGTATGGTGCTGAGTCATAACCGGGTTACTTACCAGCTTCTCATAGGAAGGATTCTGAGATGGAGGTCTCAGCTTCTGGGATCAGTTTGGGAGTGGCGGGGAGGAAGCTTCAGGGGTCATATAATTCCTTCAGAGCCCTTCTCCCCCAGAAGAGGGTTGGGGGAAAATAAAGCAATTCATTTGAAGAGGCAGCAGTCTCTGGAATATAGAATTTTCCACAGCTATTTCAGAGTCACCCTCCAGTGGGCCCAAAGACGTCACCCTTTTTGCCTACAAAAATTATTTTATCTAGGAGAGACACCAAAGTCGTCTTTGTCCTAGCTATGCTCTTCCAAGGAGACGTGGGTCCAGTTAGCTGGTAGCCAGTGAGCTTGGAGGTGGAGACTAAAATATGGTGCCAAGGAAAAGGTGGATTATGATGGCACTGCAGCAGGTGGACTTCCTAGGGAGGGGGCATTTGATCTATTGTTTGCTGATGCCTTTCTTTTTTTTGGCAAAACTTCTCTAGTCTATGTTATTTTTTGGCCACAACAAGGAGCATGCGGCATCCTTAGTTCCCCAGTCAGGAGTTGAATCCATGCTGCCTGCAGTGGAAGGGCAGACTCTTAACCACCGGACCTTCATAGAAATCCCACTGATACCTTTCTTAGTCTTCTAAATCTTGATTACTTTGGGGGACTGGGGTCTGCTTACCATTTCACTTGCTTCATAAGGAGTCTGAGCTCTGGCTACGCTTGTAGGGAAAAGAGAGCGCCCAGGCCTCCATGGGAGTGGCTTGGTGGATAGGACCGACCCACCCTAAGGAAGCTTTGTCCTGTGATTAGTAACAGTTCTGGGCTGGAGAAAAACTGTTGGAGGGCCTATTGGCTGAGGCAGTGAGATGACCTGGAATGAACAAGGACTCCTCAGGAATCTCCCTTTTCTTAGTGCTGGTAAGGCATTTCCTCAGGAGGGGGAACCGAGAGACACAGTTACATTCAGAAAACATTTGTTTACTGTCCCTTTCCCCTGGAATGGGCTTCCTAGTGCCCATCTCTGTGGTAACAGCCCTCTAAGTCTCCTCCTCCATGAATCTTTTCCTTTCCCCAAAAGATAACCTGTTCTCTTTATCCCTTAACTCCAAAAGGTCAACCTTGTCTTCCTTCCAGGATTTGTTCGGGGGAAACTCAGAAATTAAGGTTTTCTGTCACCCTGGTGGGCCTGAAGAGATCTTGGGAATTGGAAGGAAGGCACTGAAGAAATTAAAAAGTCTACTTTTTAATAGCAGACTGGAAAGGGTATATGAAGTCCAAAGTGGTAAGCACTTTTAAATCTGACATCCAGGCCAGTGGGCTGCCCTGGAAACCTGTGTTGGCCTGAGAGAAGTAACATTGCTGTTTCAGGCAGAGGCCAAGAGGTCACTTAATGGTAAAACCTGTAACCTTACCTTCTTCACCAGGGCCAAAGCTTGTCTTTAGGCTCTAGAGTTTTGTTCGGAGATTGTTTGCTGACACACCTACCTTGCAAGGGAGTCCAAACGACCATCAAGAGTAAATTCCAGATTCTGTGTTTCTGTGGCTGAAAATCCAAACAGGTAACAAACACAGCAGTCTACACTCTCACTCACTTACACCTCAGTCCAGTGAACCTAGCGGCCACTCCTCCTATCCTGCTAGCCCGTGGGCACAGTGGAATGGATGGAAGCAGAGCCTAACTTAAGTTGGGGGGGGGGGTCTGTATCCTCCCTCAGCCTCCCTAGTTTCCTGTAGCCCTGGGGTTACTTGTTGCTGGGTCAGAGGAATAAAGGTTCATTTCAGGAGGGTGGCTCAGAGAAGGGCAAACCCAGTTAACTGAATTGAGACCAATGTTCTGGCACTAGTCACAAGGAAAAACCTCCAGAACTAGTGAGTTCTCAGAGGATGCCTGTTGAGCCCTGTGCTATACTCATTCACATACATCAACTATCAAACCCCACCCGATGGAGCTAGAATTGTCTGCAGTTTATGTTTAAGGAACTGGACTCACACTAAATTACAGGATATGATTATAGGGCTAGTGAGTGGAATTGGAACTAAATGTGATGGAACCCATGCTTGCTTCTATACTAAGCTGCTTCTCAGCACAATCACCTTAAACTCTGACAGATTTTCACTATGCATCTAATATGAGCAAAAATATAGTCCATTAGTGTCTGTGAAAGTTTCATTAATACATATTTTTTTTACTATTAAAGTTTTAATTGTGTATTGGGGTAGAGCCAGTTAACAATGCTGTGATAGTTTCAGGTGAACAGCAGAGGGACTCAGCCATTCATATACATGTATTCATTCTCTCCCAAGCTCCCCTCCCATCCAGGCTGCCACATAATATTGGGCAGAGTTCCATGTGCTATACAGTAGGTCCTTGTTGGTTATTCATGGACAGCATTTTTGTAACTGCTGGAAGACCAAAATCTGCAACTGAAGTGCAATAGTTTGCTATCAACTCTCCAGTTTAATATATGTGCTTTTCAATCACGGGAATATATCTAGATATAGATCTTTAAAAATGCAACATAGTCCAGGCCAGAACGTTGCCTCTCTAGTGTTGTTCAACACTGTACTTTGTTCATCTTTAGCTGATGGGCCAATATGGCCACTTAAGCCACCCTCTTTCTCTGGATAGAGAAGAATCTGATTCCCTCTGGTAAAGCATGATTTTTTTTTTCCCTCTCAGCAACTTCATGAGCTCTTACCACCTCAATAAGGAAGCATTCCCTTCCTCTCTGCAACTGAGGGAACCAGAAACAGCTTATAGAAGAGATTAAAATATTTTATCTTAAACAAATTAATGTTGTTACGTTTTGTCAGCTTATCTGAGCTAACAGGAAAGCATAATGAAGTCCTGTGATTCAGCTATAGGCAGGGTGTCTGCCTGAGCGGGTCACACCCATTGGTTTCTTTTCCAGGAAAAGCAAAGAACTTAATAGTATTCGAGATTTTTAACATTGTATCCGGTTTCAAAATTTGGCTGAAAGGAGGCAAGAGTTAACAGTTGCTTCGTTGATAACTGCTGTGAGCACTAGGAAATCAGAAAATGCCTTAAGGAAAAATACAAGAAAAGCTCCAACAATATTGATTTAAATACACAAGGTTGAAAACAGAAATTCTTACTTCGGCAGAGATTATGGGATCTAACGTTCTGACATTCCTGAATGGTCAGTTCTGCACTAATATTAATACCTTCTATTCACTTTTTACTCTCAGGCACTCGCTCCGCAGGACTCCAGTCCCTACTAAAGTCTTCACATGGCCTCTGCTTGTCCTTCTTTGTTCTAAACCCTAAGAACAAAAGGGCCTCGCGCTCCCGCTCCTAGCACACTCCGCCCTCCCGCGTTCTCCCCGCCCTGCCGCGTTCTACCCTCGTTCCAGTGTCCTTCCAGAGCCCCTCCTAAGGCGGCCCGTACCTCCAACCATCCCATGAATCTACATCCCCCTCCCCATCTCTGACTGTTCGGTTTAGTCTTCCGGGCGTGCGCTGGGGCGGGCACCCGGGCCAGGGGATTGCTGCCCGGGGACCCATAAATCTGGGCACTATCTGGGTAGGCCAGGGCCACTCAGCTGGGGTGGCCTGGGCCAAGGGTCAAAAGAAGACCTGGTCCAGCATTCCAAGTTGGCCGCAACAGGTGGCCCGGGCGCCGGGGGGGTCTGGGAAGGAGGTCTCCAGAGCTCCGAGGGCGGGTCCTCCTGTCTCGCCGCTTCCCCATTGGGCCCTAATTATCTTCAATGCTGCGAGTTTTATTTTTCGTGTCCTTCCGCCACGGAATGTAGTCCTCCCTCAAAGGGCAACCTGATTCTCCCGTTCCGCCCCCGCGGCACTTCCTACTGAAGGTGACTGTGCCCGGCGAGGACGCAGAGGGGCGGGGCCCTGAGAGCCGGGAGCCAGGATTGGATGGGAGGCGGGGCGGCGGAGGGATTGCGGCGGCCCGCAGTCGGGATAACCTTGAGGCTAAGGCAGCGGATCCCCGCATTGGAGCGACGCGTCGCAAGCCTCCGGACCTGTCTGCGGTAGCAGCGCATCCCGAGCCGGACCACGTCGGAGGTGAGCGTGGGGAGAGACTGGGCCATCCGTCCCCACCGGGGCTCCGTCTCCCGGGGCAATGCGGAATGCTGGCCCGCCTGCGCACTGAGGGTGGCGCAGGATTCGGGGCATCTTGGGCTCACCGGGTCGGGATCAGAAAAGAGGAGAAAGGCTGCTTGTGCCTAGGGTCTCCTTCAAAGCCCCCAGCTCCCGCTTCTTCCGAAGGCAGATGAGTCAGCCAGCCCCTTTCCTGCCCCAGTCCCTGACCTCCCATCCCCATTCTGGTCCCATTCTCACCTCCCTATTCCTCCCTCCTCTATCTGGTCTCGCTCTCGTCTTCCTTCCTTTATCCTCCTAATTTGATAATTTCCTTTCGTGCGTCAGTCTCCCCCGTTTCCACTCTGCTCTTATGCCCGTCTCTTTCCCTTCATCCTTATTACTCGCTTCTTAGTTTCAACCTGTCCGTGTCCCCCTCATTCTGATGCTTTCTTTGTAACTTCTCCTTGAAACTCCTCTGGCTCCGCTCCCCTGTTCCTCCATTCAGCTGCTGTCTCCTTGTACCTACCCTCTCACGCCCCGGCTCCCGCCCCTCCCCCGCCTCTCTGGTCACGTCCGCTCCAGCGCATCCTTCTGCTGCGCACCTTCCTTCGCGCCACCGGCCTCCTCGCCCCTCCCCCTCTGTTCTGGTCACGTCCGCCTGCTCTCCCGTCTCCGCCCCTCGGCCTCCCATCTCCTGCCCCACTTCTCCATCATAGTTCCCCAGCCCCGGCCTGGAGTTCCGGGGTCAGCTCCCGAAGTGCAGTGGTTTGCGGATGGGCAGGCTGGCTCCCAGGCGGCCCGGAGATGGATGCGGTGGCCGCCGGAGGCGCAGTTAGAGGGTTACATAACCCTTGGTCTAACCCGCTGCAGAGGAAGAAAGGGTGGCTGCCCAGTGGCGCGTTCCTGTTTTGTGCCGTCCAGAATACGATAGTGCGGCCGGAGCGCTGCGCTTGCTCCGGGGGGGTGGCGGTGGGGGTGTCCCGGGCTCCATCCCGCCGAGGCGGGGCTGCACGTAGCGGCGCCGGACCCGCCCTGCCGCGCCCGCTCCTCTGGATCGCGAACCACTGGCTTTCGGGCCCGTTACCGCCCAAGCATCATCTCCGGCCCGACACGCCTCCGTGTGCTGCTCAGAGGCCTCCTCGAGTTCGAGGCATTCACCTGGCTCCCTGCCTCTGCTTCACGTTACTTAACAGCGTTACTTGACAGATGCGCCCGGTTGTAGAGGGCGGAGGCCGCGGGTTGAGGAGAGTAGAAATATCAAGAGTTTGGTGCCACGTACATGCGCTCACTCAATAAAAACTCGTGTAAAGAGTTGTTTGGGGGAGGGCTGTGGAGACCAGACCAGGATGACTAAAATCCTGGTGACCAGCCCACGGAACTCAGTCTGATTAGGAAACGAATGTAAAAGTTAGCACTGATAAGGGCCTGAAGAAGGTACACACGTGCTTCCACACGTGGAAGGTAGGCACTTCCTGTCTGGGTTTAGGAGGCCTCACCAGGTGGCATCACACGGGGTTTGATGAAGCGGAAAAGCACCTTCCAGTCTGAAGATTATTTGAAGACCCAGTAATAGGTTAGCATCCCTTGGCTTCTTATCTGTGTTCTTGAAACCCAGGACACTGATCGTCCGCCGTACAAATGAGCCTGATAACTGAGGTCCAGACATGACGGACAGAGGCAGTGGGAAGTTGAAAACAGTCTTTCAGAATCAGGTTTAACTGATTACATACTGCTATAAATAGGAGGGAATTCAGCCTCAGGGCCTGTTTCCCATGTGCAAATTGTACCTTTTTTCATCTTGGTTATTGAAAGGGTGGGTCGCTAAATACACACTTACATGGATATATATTCACTACTGGGTGCAGTGTCTAGTCTCTGGTGAGATGCCTCCAGATGTATTCTTTTGGTCACTGAGCCCAATGACTTCATCCGTAATTGAACTCGAGCGCTCCTCTTGCCATCCGGAAACACAGACTTATAGTTCATCTTTGGGAGTCAGGCTCTATGTAAATACCAGAGATCTCCTAGAAACCAGTCTGCTCAGGGATCCTCCTACAGTGTTGGCAAAGTAATTAACAATGTTACTTTGCTACTCTCCACTTGCAACATGGCCTCTTGGGTCCTCTAGCCAAAGGAAGGCAAGAAGGGAGATGGCTTTCAGCCTTTGGTATTATAGCGTTTGGCTGTAAGATTAGAAACAGCTTGCAACCCTAAGACTAAAATCTTCAGGTTCTATTGGCCCCTACTCCAGGTATCATTCTGGGATTTGCTCAGCCAGCTGGTGGTGTGAGATTAAGATAAGAGGCAAAGGAGAGTAGCTTCTTGTTGGCTGTATGCAGGGTGTGGCCACTCCCTGGGGTATAGAGCAGGCTTTATGTCAGGACTCTACAGCATTGTTAGCAAATAATTCACCCTCAGGTTGCCTGAGGATGCTGTTGGGAATGCAGGGGGGCCCTTCTGAGAGGAAGAGTATGTAACACATCACCAGATCTGTGTGAGGGGGTGGGGAAGGCTGTAGGGAAGATGACTCAGCCTTTGAATTTTTCTGCTTTTAAGAGAACTGTCTTCGTTGGGTGAGTGGGGAAACTGCACTGTGGTCTTTGCAGGCTTAAAAATCCCCTCTCTTCTTTCAGTGAGTCAAACAATGAAGCATGCATTCCTCCCAATTAAAAGTGTCTCAGCTGGGTGACAAATGGATGGTGGAGGTCCCCAGGCTCTCTGGACAGTGCTTAAATGCCACGTGGCAGAGCCTGAGGCCCCAGTGATAGTCTGCACACCTGTCCTGAGCCCTGTGCAATGGATGTGGCAACCCTTTGGGGAATAAGCATTGTAGGGAAGATGAATAACGATGCCTTAAAGATTACGTCCTTGAACTCATTTCTGAATTACTAGACTTGAGCCAAAATGTAGGGACATTAGTCTTCTATATAGGACACCTGCTCTCATTTTAAGCACGGCATTAGAAGTAAATAATTTTAGTGTTGAATTCACAGTTTAACCAAAAGCATTATTGGGTCTTTAGGAATTGCAGCCCCAGTGACTTGGCAAGTTTGGTATCTGTTACTCCAAACAGAGCTAACACCTTAGGGGAGGTGCTTGTGTGCCCTGAGTGTTGTGACATTAATGTGGGGTCACAGGAAATGCCATTTTATTTCTTAAAACTGCTTATTTCTTAATGTGGAGGCAGTGAAAGAAATGGGGAAGTGGTTGAGAGCAGGAAGGTAGAAAAACATGCAACTCTTGCATTACAGGCTTGTAATGTGAGTCTACAGGAGTTTTTAATTATTTGTCTTCAGGTTTTATGAAGGCAAGTAAGGGTGTGTTACTTTGGCTAAGCGCTAAGACTGAGGTGAAGGCGGGGAGAAATGACTCATTTGACATTAACTTTATTTCTGAATCATTCGGAATATTCACAGTCAAATCCCAGTTAACTGGTGCACCACAGGAATGAGGCATCCATGGGAGCAGAGTTGTCTTGAAACACTGTTGAGTGAGGATCTTGTGAGATATGTAAGTGATTTATTTCGCGGCCGGTCCTATAGGACCTTGAATCACCACTTTAAGCTTCAGTTCTGATACAGATAGAAATAGAACTAAATGAAGACCACTCTTTGGGGGGGGTGGGCGTTGCTTTGTGGCACGCTTGTGGGACCTTAGTTTCCCGAAAGTGCAGTGTCTTAACCACTGGACCACTGGGGAATTCCCAATGAAGACCATTCTTAATTATATCATACTTTTCTGAAAGCTTGTTTTTTTTCCTCTTTTCTCTTTAACCACAAACTAGCCAAGGACTAGATAGATGAATAGGCTGATTATTTGGAGCTTTGTTAGAGAAGCTGTCTGGGGGGAAGGTGAGCCAAGATGGGTGGTGAGTGGCAGTGTGTGCAGACTCCGCGGAACCTTTGGGCTTCCTCCTGTGACTGCTCAGCTTAGGAGGGGAGGTGGGCAGGGCCGCCAAGTGCTGCAGCCCCACCCCTGCAGCCATTTCTCCTCTGTGGGTCTGTGCTGGGCCGCAGTGCTTCTGGTGGCCTCTGTGACTCCCCTCCCCCGCTTCTCCCTGCAGGCAAAACTCCTGGGCACCGGTAAGCCGCTCTTTCCTGACACAGCCAGCAAGCTGTGTTTGGAAGTCAGACAAGGGCTTTAGTCGGGGAGATGCCAAGACTAGCTATGACAGGGTTGCTGCTCGTGGCATTTCAGAGTATGGACCAGCTTGGCTGATGGCAGTTTAAAAAAAATTTTTTTTTTCTTATAAAAATTATCTGAAAGGAGCCCCAGCCCTTCCAAACATTTAATCAGCCAACAGATAATATTTAACTGTAGATGACTGGTATCACATCATTCCTTTCTCAGGTGATGAGTGCAGTCATGGCATATGAGACCAAGCCATACAACATTTTGGAGGAGCACTGAAGTTTGAGTCTGGTTAAGAGGCAGGAAAGTAAAGACTCAAAAGAAAACTATACTGATATCTAATATCCCTCTTTTGTTATTTTGTTAGAGAGCAGATTAATACATCACCCATCAGATGGGCAAATGTTGTAAGAGTCTGACAGTGTCAAGGGTTGGCAAAGGTGTGGGAAGGCAAGGACTCACTTTACTGTTTGGTTGTAAATTATTATAACCACTTTGGAGAGCAATTAAGCACTATTTCGTAAAACAGAATGCAAGCATACCCTGTGGCCCAGGAATACACCTCTGAATATAGAAGCCACACCTGCAGAAAGAGACATGTACTAGGAGAAATATTCTAGTGTTGATTAATGAGGAGAAATTGGGTTTAGTGGGAAAATGATCAACCAGTAAGGGAATACATAAATAAATGGTCTAGTCACACACTGGGCTAGTATAGCAGTTCATATGAATTAACTAGAGCTGTGTGCCAACTGGATAGATCTTAAATATGCTGTGAAAGCAAGTTGTTTGAATATGCCTTACAGTGTATTACTTAGCATATCATAGAAGCAGCAGTATAGTAGTATTGAATATAGATACAGATACCCTTAGATGAACTATAAAGATAGAAAATTCATGACCTTGGTTGGGTGTTAGGATGTGATATGAAAGGGTTGGAGGAATCACCTGGGGGTGGAGGACAAATGAATTGGATACATGGTAATATTTTTTCTAAGTCTAAAAATCTGGATTAAGAACAATCAAAAAAATTTTTTTGGCCATATCTCATAGCATCTTAGTTCCCCAACCAGGTTTGAACCCAGCCCTTGGCAGTGAAAGTGTGGAGTCCTAACCAATGGACTGCCAGGAAATTCCTTGGATAATATTAATGGTCAGTTCTGGGTGGCAGAAATACAGATGTGAATGTTTCTTTCTTCAGTTCAAAACAGAAGCAAATCTATGGTGGTCACTGAGGGGAGAGCAGGCATACTAAGTAGGTCAGTGCTCCGGGAGATCCGGCATGCCCTTCCTCCTCCGTCCCCTCCTCTTCTCCCTGCAGCTGTGATGGATGCAGGGCGGCTCCTCCTCTAAGTGCTGAGCCAAGGCCTCCCTTTGCTGAGGCTGTCCCTCCCCCAGTGTCGTACCTAACTTGGAAGGGCCCTGAATCAGGGTCCCAGGTCCCTCGGTGCTTCCAGAGTGCCAGTCTCGCACCCTGAAGCACTGCCTCATAATCTTAAGTCTAGTAAGGAGCTCAACTCAGCACAAGCTTCGTCTCCACTTCCTCCTCCAGACTGAAACCAGGTCTCTTCTCTGGGCATCTGTGATCGAACCAGGAAATCCTCAGCATTTGAAATGGTAGCAGTTTCTCTGACTCAGGACCTCCTGCACTGGAGTTGAGTGGTCCTTATAGGGGTGGGCTCATTGAGCATCAGCTTTTGTGCCCTATTGCACACTCTGATTTGAAATAGGACCTTGGGCTCCTATGTATAATATTTAAGTCACTTAGTTCTAGTCCTGAATAAAAGAGCGAGGGAATTTTACTTAAACCTACAGTGGGCTCATTTTGTTTTGTGTAACCTGGTAACACCAGACTTTGCTTTCTGTTATGGGACCTGTTGAGGAGAGAATGGACTTACTATTCCCATCTCTTAGCTAAGAACTGCTTGTCCTGGCCCCACTACATATGCAAATATACTGTTATCATTACTCTGTGTAGGAGGATGAAGGGCTTCTCAGGTGGCTCAGGGTAAGGGACCCATCTGTCAGTGCAGGAGGTGCAGTTTTAATCCCAACTCCCTGGAGTAGGAAGTTGCAACTGACTAGTATTCTTGCCTGGAGAATTGAATGGACAGAGGAGCCTGGTGGGCTACAGTCCATGGGGTCGCAAAAGAGTCAGATGTGACTGAGCAACAACAACAAATAAGATGAACAGCTGAGTATTCACTGCAGACCTTATTAGGTTTTGTAGCTGACCTGGCACCCATTTTGATCTTATCACTGCCTTTGTCAGATAAGGGCCAGTCTTGGGAATTATATTTTTCTGCTCCATCACCTACTAACAGAGCTCCTAGAGAGCAGACTGACCTAAATGCCTTGTCCAGCATTTTTAAATATTTATTTATTTCACTGGGTCAGGTCTTAGTTGCGCACATGGGCTCTAGTTCCCTGACCAAGGATCCAACCTGGGCCCTCTGCATTGGGAGCTCGGAGTCTTAGCCGCTGGCCCAGCAGGAAAGTCCCTGTCCAACATACTGTGATGAAAACTTTCTAATGGTTGTTGGTGTGCCAAAGATTTGGGAATCAGACCTCCATGCTGGCTTGGAGACTTGGAGATGTAGATAGCAAATTGATGTCACGGTGAGAAACCATCGTGGGCACCAGATGTCATCATCATTGAGTCAGTCTGTGTGGTGAGGTTGGCATCAGAGCACAGATTGGTTAAAGGTTGGCTTACGCAGATGTGGGCTCATAGGCCAAGCTGGCTTACTAGGGCAGAATGATGTGGGCTTTTGTGAAAGCGCAAATCTGTGGACTGAAGCGTGAATCCTTCCAGCACACCCTAGCAGCAGTACTGGCTCTCAGTGACGTGTTGGGTAGTTTTTCTTTTATGGTTTCTACCCCCTGATTTCTAAAGAGTGATCCAAGACTTGTGTCTGGCATGAACAGAACTGTGGCTTCAGAAGACCAGGAGCCACTTGCGAAAGAAAAGGTGGGAGTTGGGGCCCGTGGAGCTGAGCCATCACCTGTGCCTGCTTCCAGGCCTCTGATGGTATCTTGTTTCTCACAGAGGAGAAATGTCTCTGAGGAGGATGCTACAGCAGGGGCTCGGGCTCAAGATTCAGGTTCCTGTACCCAGGCACGGCATTTGCTGCCATCAGTGGAGATGCGCAGCTTCCACTGCCAGCTGGAGGTTGGCTCTGCATGTCTATGCCTCCCGAGGAGGAGGATGTCGGAATGAGTCAGACTGGCATGAACTGGGCAACGTGCGCTGGCAGGCACTGTCCAGACGGCCAGCCTGAGGGCGGGGAGCTCTTCCCAGAGGCTGGCCCTGAGAAACCATGGCTGAGGCTGCTGTCCAGAAGCTGGGGGAGTGTCCAGGGGGTGTTTCAGGTGGGAATGGGCAGCTTGTGCTCCGGAGAAGAGGCTCATGGGAGGCTTCAGGGCAAAGCTTGAGGGAATGGAATCCCAGCTGGGGACCTGGGCAGGTGACAAGGTCTCTGGTTTGGTAGTGGACTTTAAGGACATGGTGAGATCTTGTAGGAATCTGGGCAGACTTGCTGACAAGCCAGCTTTTTTGGATTGCTGGTGGGTAAACACACTCAAATGGCAAGTGAAATTTCACTTGTAATTTTTGTACTTAATAGCCTGGGTGAGCAAAAGATCAGAGCTTGTAGACCTCAGGTTTAATCTGAGATGATGAAATAGGGTTAGTGGTTGAACCCAGTATATTAACTGTATCTGCTGATAACATCTCCTGCTCTTGAGCCAGCCCTTCTGTACTAGAATATCCTTGTCACAAAGAGTTTGCTCTGATGCTTGAGGGCAGACTAAACAGGAAGAGAAGTTTGTTGGATTGGGGCATGTGGCTCACAGATTTGGGGCACAAGAGTTGTCCTGTGGACTGTATTAGCTTTCCTCCCTGGAATAAATCAAGGTTTTGCCTGCCCATTGCTTCTGCACCATCAGTACAAATAGCAGCACATTAAAGAAGGCAAATAATGTCTTTGAAAGTTCTGCTCTCATGGACCGTCCTTTGGTAATTACTGTATTAGAGTGACTCGGGTTTCTTTTTTTCTCACTGTGCCATGTGGCTTGCGGGATCTTAGTTCACCAAGCAGAAATTGAACCTGGGCCCAGGGAGTGAAAGCACTGAGTCCTAACCACTGAACCACCAGAGAATCCCTGAGGTTGATCTTCTTAAGTCAGTGAAACTATCCTGCTGTGAGTTTGTGATCTAGGGCCTAAGATGCATTATTCCACCTCTACCATGTTTAGAATATTCCTGAAGTACACAGAGTGGCAGTTGAATATGGCACGAGGACCTTTACTTTTGTTTTAATTCCAGCATTTTTACCAGGATGCTAGTAAATGTGTCCTTTTTGAAAGAGGTACATTTAGAATTTTTCTCATGAAAGTAGTATCAGTAAACTTTTTAGTAAAGAGAAGAAAGAAATTTGCTGTAATTCTACCACCCAGATAATATGCTGATAATATTTTGGTAGGTATCCTTCCAGTCCAGTTATGTATGTTTAATTTAGTGCCTCGCCTCCCAAAGAAAAGGGGGAGGCAATAGTGAAATGTTAGTAAACCAAGGTTTAAAGAGACTTTATAGGGAAGGGGATAAAGCATTGCAAAGGAGCCACTGACAACTCTTTTACCTGAGAATTTTCTTGGGCGACTTCGGTGTATTAATTTATAACATAGCTGAATCTCTAGGAACTACCACTACCTGGATACCTGGTTATTAAGGTGATTTCTCCATTACCCCCAAAGAGCTTTAGTTGCACTCAGCTTTTACCTTAATCCTTGTACAGCTCTGCAGGGCAAACCTTTCTCAGCTCCGAGCAGTCTTTGCAAGTGGGGCCAAGGAGCCACCCTGAGTCAGAAAAAGAGCATTATGTCACCGGAAGTCCAAGCCCAGGGAACGCAAGGTATGACACGATAATCAGTGGCCCCAGCTGGGTCTTTGCAAGGAAGACCCTGATGTCTCAGGTCTAGAGCCGATCCCACTAATGCCTTTTTGGGGGGCCACACTATGCAGCAGTGGGATCTTATTTTCCCAGCTGAGGATCAGACTCATCATGGTCCTTGCAATGGAAGTGCGGAGTCTTAATCACTGGACTGCCAGTGAGGTCCCCAACTGATGATTTTTAAGAAGAGTTACTTTAACCCACCCCTTGAGGTCACACTGGATGACTCCATTTGCCTGGAAGCCACAGTGAGACCTGTGTGTTCCAGTGGCCTTGGTGTGCCACCAAGGGGACCACCTCTTAAGTCCTGTTCCCTTTACAGCCAGACGCGCCTACACACCACCGGGGCCTGGGTGCTACTGTGTAAGCCCAGCTTCCACCCTGAGTGGAGGGAACGGGACCTTGGCTGCCCAGGCCATCCTGTCAGTGATTCAGAAGCTCTGAGATTTGGTGGGGGAGGGGGCATAGCTATAACTTCGATTTGACACAGAGGCATTAATAGGTGCTCTGAAACATCATTCAGCAAACACCGGACTACCTCCAAGGTCATGGTGCTAGGAGATACAGAACCACTGGGTCATGGAGGAGAGGATGTTGTTTTCATCTCGTTACCTGGTATGTTGTGGGGAGTTAGGAGATACACATCGAAAGGAACAGTGTATATGCCATGTAGAATAATTGGCTTGTGTCTTATTTTCTTGTATTTAAAGGTGTAGTTGGGATCTATAGCTATCGGTTTTCAACAGCTTATAGGAGCTTCACTTATAATTGGTCACAGAGCTTCTTGAAGTTTATCAGACTTCTTGAAAGTGACAGGCGGGTTTAGATGCATGCTGTGCTCCAGCCACTCAGAGAGGCCCCACAGTCAAAGATGGAGGAGGAGAAAAAGCAAGGGTTACATGTATGGGGTGCCTTGGTTTGGAGCCCTGAGATTTTGGAGGAGGTGGGACAGGGCAAAAGAAAGGCTTGTTCTTGTGCCTCGGCTGCAGCACTTGGGCACAAGGATTTGAGAAGGAGCAGCCCTTGGTCTGAAAACCAGCAAAAAGGAATGGCATTCTGATGAGGACTGCAAGCTTCTAGCTTATTTGCTTACCTGATGAGTCTTCAAACACTGCCTGGAAGCTTCTCAAGTCTCTGTCTATAATGAGCTAACTAACTGACTGAGTTTAGTTGTAAAGTCAGCAATGAAGAAAAACAAAGGTCTGGGCCATTGTGCCCTGGGTCAGGCTTGTGACCTGGGCTGATTAATTACCTGGAACAGATGGTCTTTATTACTGTGATTAGTGTGCTTTCCAGACTTAGAAAGGGAATGGGTGGTGGGTCAGATCAGCCTGGAAAGGATTTGACAAGCAGTGTTAATTTCTTCAATTAGTGCAATAATTTTAGAGCCAGGCTAGCACCATTGTGGTTATCCTTGGTTTGACACAAATTTCTTTGAATGTGCTTAAGTCGTGACTGAAATTACCAGATGTAGTTTTTTTAAGTACAGATTCCTCGGGAAAAAATTATTTTACATTCTTGGTTCAGGTTGGACTTACCTTTCCAGGGATGGGTTTTTTTGTCTCTCAATGGGCTGGGGCATACTGTCCAGCCTAGGGTGAATTGAGGAATGGACTTATGTGTCCCTGTGGGTTCCTGAAACCTAGGACTCCAGGACTAGGAGGCTACCTGAATAGTGGTTGTCTTCACGACCAGGAAAGTCACTTTGGGTTTGGGTGGGGGTTGTTAAGAGAGAGTATGGGTGCCACACCCCATAGCAGGTGTTTATAGCTTTGAGACAGCTTTTCACACAAAGATCTAGATTGACCATGGTACTAAGCTAGGGTGAGTTGTCTGTATCCCTGGAAGATTGGCTCTTTTTGAGGAAACTTCCTTTTGAGGAAACTCCTGCAGTGCATGTAAAATGGTGTCATTTACAGGATTAGCAGGGAAGTTGCCAAGATAGACGTTAGCCCAGTGTGAGGGAGGTGTGTGCTTAACATGTGCCTAGGAAGTACATTCATTGGTAATGTGGTTTTACTTGCTCTTTGAAGTCTTTCCTACTTGCTCATGATAATGTGAGCCCATGGCCCGACTTGAGCACCCACGTAGGCAGAGTGTGGCGCGGCTGCCTGTGGCTTGTGCCCAGAGCATGCTTGTTGAGTTAATGTGTAAGCAGGAAGCAGCTTCTGTGCTAAGCCACTCAGACGGATCACACTCTCTCTCCAGTTCCTCTGGACCCGAGGCATCAGAAGCCATGTCGAAGCCCCACAGTGACGCTGGGACGGCCTTCATTCAGACTCAGCAGCTGCACGCAGCCACGGCCGACACATTCCTGGAGCACATGTGCCGCCTGGACATTGACTCGCCGCCCATCACCGCCCGAAACACCGGCATCATCTGTACCATTGGTGAGCGCGGGCGTCCACTCCCTCCAAAACAAGGGCTTCCAGAGACTGTGATCTTTCCTCGCCGCCACCCCCCGCCCCGAAGCCTAAATGTAGCAAACCTGGGTTCTGAGCAGGATGCTACAGAGAGATTCTTAGGGGAAATGGAGTCATGGACTTGGTCGCTCAGACATGTCCAACTCTTTGTGACCCATGGACTGATGCCCACCAGGCTCTTCTGTCCATGGGATTTGTCAGACAAGAATACTGGAGTAGGTTGCCATTTCCTTCTTCAAACTGAGTTCATAGGAATTTGCAGGAAGGAATTCATGTGCTTTATGTGTTCTGCTAAAGGTAAAATTTAGAGGTTATTTTTCATGGCAGTTCTTACTGGTTCTGAGCATCTCAGAGACCTAGGAAAGATCTTTTGGACTCAGTTCAACTAAAATGCTGTAGTTGGACATCTTACTGGGCTTCAGGGAGAACATAGAGGGCTGGCTACATTTTACCTTGGTTATTAAGAGTTCTTTAAACTGAAACACACTTGAAGTGTTAATCCTCTTTTGGATAATGAACACTTAATGACTTTCAAAATTTTTTTTTTTTTTTCTGAACTAGGCCCAGCTTCACGAGCAGTGGAGACATTGAAGGAGATGATTAAGTCTGGAATGAATGTGGCTCGTTTGAACTTCTCTCATGGAACTCACGAGGTGAGCCTCGACGGTGTGGCCTCTGGGGCAGCTTGTAGGAAACAGGGTGGGCATGCCATGTTTATTTAGCCACAGTGGACCAGGCAAGAAAAGTGGGGAATCAATGGGAAGGTTGTCTTCACCAGCCCATCCCTACTGTTCTCCAACCGCCCCACCCCTGACATCTGAAGTGGCCAAGTCTCCTTAAGCAAAGATGACCTGCTTTGTCATCGGCCATGGTTCTCCCCAGCACCTGTGCTCCATTAGCTCTTGATAAGGAAGGCATGGAAGGGTTTTCCTGGGATTCCCTCTAAGCCATGGGGTTTGACACTTCTGCGCCAGGGTTTCTGTAACGGCTCATAATTGCAATGATGAACCAGTAAGTCACCCTGCAGATTATCCTGGCCTATTTTTATTTTAGACCCATGATAAATGGGGCAGGTCCCAGAGAAGGGCTTCCACTATTGCAAGTGAAGGACTGGGTCCTGGCATGTAGTACCCCACTTCATCAACACTGTGTTCCCAGCCTGTCCCTTCCCAGGGGTTTTGGTACATTAAAGTAAAATAAAGTCCGCACACTTGTCCAGTGATCTGGGAGGAGTGTGTCAGTACTGGGGCTGTTCATGAGCTGACTTGACCTCGGGGACCAGGTGGCAGCTGTTGGGAAGTGCTCCATTGTGCTTCTGTCCCAAGATCAGAACAAGCTCATTTTGAGGAGTGTGTGGGCTGCCTGAGGATCAGTGCCACGGATTTCATACTGGCATTGATAGAAGACTAATGGGTGAGGCAAACTCTTGCTCCTCTTGCACTCTGTACTTCCTGTTCAGAATAAAGAAAATGCTGCCCTGTAAGGTCAAGTGGTAAGGGGTTGCCCTCTGGCATTTGGAAGTTGGTGTTAAGTTTAAACTAAAAATAAAGCCTCAGGAAATGCAATCCAAGAACTGTATGCCTCCTTTCTGGAAACATGAGAATGTTCATTGTAGGTTCCCTAACCCATGTTCCATAAACAGGTTATATCCTCCAAATGTCACAGGGACCTGACCAAGTTCAGAGGAACTATGCTCAGCCCGCCCCCTGGGGCAGGTTAAGAAGCCCACAGATGGCATTCTTAATTTTCCAAAGGTGAAGAGTCCTCCTCAGGAGACACTAGGCATCCCTGCAAGCCTTCGCTTAGCCCAAAGAGAGAGCTAGAGACACCGGTGAAGGTCCATTCACAATTGATCCCTCCTGCTGACTTGTGCCAGGGTCTGCTGTGTGCAGGGGAAGGAGCAGAAATAGCTTTAGGAAGCTGACCTTTAACTAGGCTTTATGGCCTCTTCCATCCAGTAAAATAATACCACACAGCTCTGAAATGGCAGGGGGAGAGGGTGGTATCTGCACCTGTTGGAGGGGCTGGCTCAGGGGGGTCTGGTTTTTTAAACTACAAGAGGCATTTGGGGATTATCTGTGCTTTAACTCTTATTCCCAGAGTTGGAATTTGTTCTCTTTTTCCACACTGCATGGCATACAGGATCTTAGTTTCACAACCAGGGATCTGACAAACCCAGGGCCCCTGCCTTGGAGGCATAGAGTCTTAACCATGGACCACCTGGGAAGTCCCTTGTGGGTTTAATTTGAGGTTTTTGACCAAGATGAAATTATGGAATCAGGGTTTTGGAAACTGATCTGAAATATTAGTTATATAATGTAAACAATTATAGTTTGACAAATAGCTGAGACATGCTTTTCCAACTTTTGACCATTTTTAATACTCTACTAAGCAGAACATTGGATTTGCTTTCTGTCCTTCACTCAGACAGAGGGACATCTACCATCTGATCTCTTTTTCTGGTTTTGTTGTTACTGCATATGGTCTTTTGGCAGCTCTTGTGGGCAAGATGTGTCATATTCTCAGGTGCCACTCACCTGGATGGTGGTGGTTGAAGGATGAGGCCCACAGTGTGTTGAGTTGGGAGCCTGTGTTATCAGCAATGTCACACTGATAGCACTAGGAACTTTTGCCATCTTGGCTCTGAGTCCCTTTTTAGTCAAATAGTAATGGCTAATGGGAAAGAGGAAGGGCTTCCAAGGTGAGACTGAAGCCAGGATTTGTTGCAAGTGAGAAATAGCAAAGGTCAGTTAGTTCAGAGAAAGGCTGTGTTCCCACCTCTCCATGTTCCATTTCCATTTCTAATCAGACTGGAGGAAGTGATCGTCAGAACCAGGCCTGCATGACTTGAGCAACGTATTTAATTTGGGCTGCATCAGCTTAAGTAAATAACTGAGTTTGAATTGCAGTTGTAATCGATAGAGAGTAGCTCAGAATTATCAGATTTATCAGTCTAACTCTGGTAGCCAGAGCAGTATCATCCAGATACAAGGTCTTTTACCCCAGTTGTCTGCTTTATTTGCTGAGGGTATTTGTTAAATCCTATGGAGCGTGGAGGAGAAGGAAACAAGCCTCTTTTATGTTGACATGTGTTGCCACCAAAAACCATTAAAGGTACGGGTGTAAATAGTCTAAAGTTCCTAAGATTAGCCCTTGGAGTGGGTGATGGCGGTGGTAGAAGTGGGTGGAGAGCTGGCAGGAGTCTGCTTATAGCAGAGGGAGCTCACCTTGGTGCTCAGGGCTGACAAGAAGTGAGTAGAGGCGAGGAGGTTGATGTAAGCAGGTGGAGGATGCTCGGTGATGGAGGCAGTGGTCTAGAATCCTGGTGATCGGCTTCAGCGCTAATTCTAGATCCCATAGTGTGGGATAACAGATGTGGAGCTTATCATCTCCCCGCTTTTCCCCCAGTACCACGCAGAGACCATCAAGAATGTACGTGAAGCCACGGAAAGCTTTGCTTCAGACCCCATTCTCTATCGGCCGGTGGCGGTGGCCCTGGACACTAAAGGACCTGAGATCCGAACCGGGCTCATCAAGGGCGTGAGTATCCTGGGGAGAAGCAGGAGAGAAGGCTTAGGGGACCCAGAGCCCAGAAGCCAATTTTCTCAGAGTTTAGGTCTATAAATGAGACTTTTATCCATCACTGCAGAAAGTCTTCCTTTGATCTGCTTTGCTAAGAAACAACACCAGAAAGAAACCTCTTTTACACTCAAAACCTACTTTTGGGGAGCAGCTTATCTCGTCCTCTTTAGTATAGCTGAAACCCTATAGGTTATTCTTGGGTTATTTCCTTGAAATATACTAAGTTAGACTGTATGGTTATTTCTTTCCAAAGGAAGAGGCTTTATTGTTACTTCCAACTGAAATTTAATCCTGGTTCCCTAGAGGAAAAAGCTTTTCTCCTGCCAGGAGGGCCCAGCTTCTTTGGACTTGTGGCTTACTTTCTTGTCTGCGGCAGAGCGGCACCGCTGAGGTGGAGCTGAAGAAGGGAGCCACGCTGAAGATCACCCTGGACAACGCCTACATGGAAAAATGTGACGAGAACATCTTGTGGCTGGACTACAAGAACATCTGCAAGGTGGTTGACGTGGGCAGCAAGATCTACGTGGATGATGGGCTCATTTCTCTGCTGGTGAAGCAGAAAGGTAGGCACAGGAGTCAGGCTCTGATCGTTTAAAACTAGCTCCCATCTCTAAATTTCTTTGCCAGAAGATAGGAAGGTTGTTTGCCTGGCAGAGAGACTGAATCTATATAGTCTCGACTTCCTTCCTTTTTTCAAATAATCTATTTATTTATTTTGGCTGCGTTGGGTCTTAATTGTAGCACATGGGATCATTAGTTGCAACACTGGACTGTATTTGTGGCACATGGGCTCATTTCTTGTGGCTCGAAGGTTTAGTGGCTCTGCAGCTTGTGGGATCTTAGTTCCCCCACAAGGGATCAAACTCACTTCCTCTGCATTGCAAAGTGGATTCTTAAACACTGGACCACCCAGGGAAGTCCCAGGAGTTTCTTTTATAATAAACTCCTATTCTCAAAAACAGGTTTCACTCCAATTCAGTTGTACTCTTGGAGAGCAGATGGGAAGCTTTTTTTACCCATCCTCACTATTTGAAGATTTACTTCCTTCCTTCATTCACTTAATATGGTGTCTGTAGGACTCCAGCGTGCCTGGGAATGATAGCTAAAGTGATCCGCTCCATTCTAAGCGTTTTACATGTAGATTTGTTTAAATTTTTAAACAACCTAATGAGTAGATACTATTATCCCTGAGACACAGAGAGGTTAATGGACTTGCCCACAGTCACACAGTTAGTCGAGTTGGAGAGTGAACCCTGGCAGTGTGGCTCCACCACCCACCGTGTGCTCCTTCCCAGTTCTCTCTCCTGGGGAGAGCCTGCCTCCTGGTGAGGACACGTGTGCCCAGGGCTTGGCCTTCCCACGCTATTCCATTCCATACAGGTCCTGACTTCCTGGTGACGGAGGTGGAGAATGGTGGCTCCTTGGGCAGCAAGAAGGGCGTGAACCTCCCTGGGGCTGCCGTGGATCTGCCTGCTGTGTCAGAAAAGGACATCCAGGATCTAAAGTTTGGGGTGGAGCAGAATGTGGATATGGTGTTTGCGTCCTTCATCCGCAAGGCTTCTGATGTCCATGAAGTCAGGAAGGTCCTGGGAGAGAAAGGAAAGAACATCAAGATAATCAGCAAAATCGAGAATCATGAGGGAGTTCGGAGGTAAGTCCCCCGCCTCCTTCAGCCCCAGCCCTGCTCTCTGCAGAGCAAGATGTAGCCTGTGAACACCTGGCCACCTGCTTATTCGAATGAGCCTCTCGGACTTATTTCAGACTCACTGCCTCAGAATATCCTATGATAACTGGTAGGCTTGCCAGGTGGCGCTAGTGGTAAAGAACCCACCTGCCAGTGTAGGAGTTGTGAGTTCGATCTTTGGGTCGAGAAGATCCCCTGGAGAAGGGAATGGCAACCCACTTTAGTATTCTTGTCCGGAGTATCCCATGGACAGAGGAGCCTGGTGGGCTCCCATCCATAGGGTCGCAAAATCAGACACAACTGGAGTGACTTAGTGCGCACGCCTGACGTTGGTATTGGTATTTCAAGGGGGGTAAAAGAAGCTTCACAGATGATTGGGGTGCCAGCATCTTCACATTGTCCCAGGGAACAGCACTGGAGAGGGACAGGGTCATCACCACCCCCAGGCTCAAGAACCATGTGTAGTGCTCCTCCACTCGCTAAGTTTGCTGGAATTGGGTGCCACCAAGGGGGAAGACAGGCTCTCAGGAAGGGGCTCCTTCACTTGGGAGCTGTGTGGAAACTCAGGGCTGAAGCACGTGACCTAGTCTTCCCTTGGAAAGCAGCGGGATTGGTGGTTGGGTCAGCTCTGGCACAGTGCCCATCTCCCTGGGGAAAACATGCAGTCCTCTGGTTCTGCGTGGCCCCAGCACTGCCCCACTGCCTCCCCAGCGCCCACTGGGTAGAGCCACGTGAGTTAGGCCAGCTGGGTGACGTCTACGCCTGCTTGGCCCCCTGCTCAGACCCAGCACTGACAGCCCAGGCTTACTGCAGCAGGCCAGGTGTGTGCATGGGGAGAGTGGGCGGGGCAGCGCTGCCCACCGTTGTGGGCTTGCCATCCTTAGCTTTGTGTCCGTGTCCGTCGCACTGGGAAATCTGGGGCCCTCCCTCCGCCACCCTGATAAGCCACAGGTACCTGCTGACTTTGGCTTCAGGCCAGGCAAAGCCACATTCTCGTGCCTTCAACACACTGGGGAGGAACCACTGAAGGAGGGGCCTTCCAATGTCCTTGACGGGAAGAGGCCGTGGACCTTTGTGTCAAGAGCAGCCAGCGCCTTGGGTTCCATTTCTACCCCAGCAGTGGTGACTGAAATGAAGGTGGTAGAGAGACACCTTAAGAGGGACCTTATAAGATGCAGGTGCACACAGAGAATGAACTTACGGTTACCAGAGGGGAACGATGGGAGGAAGGAAGAGTCGGGGAGTTTGGGATGGACCTGTACACACACACTACTGTATTTAAACTGGATGACCCACAAGGACTGCTGTATAGCGCAGGGAACTCTGCTCAATGTTATATGGCAGCCTGGGTAGGAGGAGAGTCTAGGGGAGAGTGGATGCACGTGTGTGGATGGCTGAGTCTGCTGTGCATCTGAAACTATCAAGACATGGTTAATCAGCTGTACCTCAATGTAAAATAAAAGGTTAAGGAAAAAAAGAAGTGAACCCGTGGGATTTTGGAAGAGACCCAGCCACCTCCCCTTCCCCTCAGTGAAGTGTCCGTCCTGGTGCTGAAGAGTCCAGCGAGCAGAACTGTTGGCCCCCTTTGGAGGACTGAGACAGCTGGAACACCCCTGTGATGATGTCATGGGTACCTGTCCTGGTTGCAAGAATGACCAAGTCAGAATCCCGGGAAACTGTGTCACCACACTCGAGGCCCCTGTTCTGTATATATAACCTCTGTCTCCGCAACTTGCCTCTCAGGTTTGACGAAATCCTGGAAGCCAGTGATGGGATCATGGTGGCGCGTGGTGATCTGGGCATTGAGATCCCCGCAGAGAAGGTCTTCCTTGCCCAGAAGATGATGATTGGTCGGTGCAACCGAGCTGGGAAGCCCGTCATCTGTGCCACACAGGTGTGTGCCTCTCCCTGAGGGCGCATCCTGTATAAGGAAGCTCTGGAGGCTACCCGGTCTCTTCCCATGGAGCCTGCCCTACATCATACACACACCTATTCCCCGCCCTCCTGCCCCCACGCACCTACACAAAGCCGACTCTGTACATACATGCTCTCCAGGGGGTCACCTTGTGTCTGAAGACCTCCCAGGCCACGTCTCACAAATGCTATGTCCCCTCCCAGATGCTGGAGAGCATGATCAAGAAGCCTCGCCCTACCCGAGCGGAGGGCAGTGACGTGGCCAATGCAGTCTTGGATGGAGCCGACTGCATCATGCTGTCCGGAGAGACGGCCAAAGGGGACTACCCCCTGGAAGCTGTCCGCATGCAGCACCTGGTAAGTCCTCCCTGCTGGGGGTGGAGGCGAGCTCCAGCACATGGGGACACCTTGTACTGTCACCTTCTGTGTCCTTTTATTATCCTCCAAGTCACAAGCAGAGTGAGGAGGTGTGTGCTGGGGTCGTGGAGGTGTCTGGGTTTTGGGGTTTTTTTGCTCTTCTGCCTTCCTGCCCACACTGGTCTCCTAGTCCCTTCTGTTCTGGAGGCGGCCTCCTTCATCACACGTAGCAAGTTCACTCCCGTCTTCGGGGTGTGACTCCTTCCCTTGCTTGAGTCCTGGGATGTCTGTACTGCTTCCCCCTGGACAGTCTAGAGGACCCGAGCACCTCTGCCCTGTTCTGGAAAAGTCCGAGAGCTCCTGCTCCCAGCCAACCTGTGTTTAGCTTCCGTTTTGATTCCGCATCTCCCCCTGGACTGGGCCTGCACTGGAGGCTGTCACCTGCACTGACCTGGCTGTGAGCTGGCCTTGCATGGTACCTGCAGCAGCGCCTGCTTTGCTGAGCTGTTGCACTCACCCTAGATTAGAAGTGGGGTTTAAGGGAGGGGTGACAGGCCCACAAATAGAAACAGGTGGAAGGCTGGCTGATCTCAGCTGGCCCTGAGGTGAGAGTGTCTGGAGGAGCCGTAGTGGCCGCTTCTCATTCTCCCGTGGGAGCTGGCTTTTCCAGGGTCTTCTGCTGGACCATGTCCCACAGCCTGGCAGCCTCTGCTCTAAGGCATCCCAAAGAAGAACACAGGGGTAGGTCAACAGGCCTGGGGAAATGAGCACTACAGATGACCTTTTACAAGGGTCCTAGGTGGCTGTTGATAATGTATAGCTCAGCAAACTGTTTCTTTAACCTTCCTGTTCATTTTCCAGCCAGCAAAGGACCCCAAGCCCTTTGTGTGACATCCCTCCAATGCATCCCCCCAAAAAAACCTCTGGACTAGATACCATCCTTTCCTTCACTTTCTATGTGATTAGGCTCAAGTGGCTTCCAAAGAAGACATGACAGTTACAGTGAATACTTTTTCAGGGGTGAAACAAGGCATGTTGACTACAGATGTCTTCTGGTTTGTCCTTGGTGTTCTGGGTGGATTTGCCCATAACTAAATCAGTAGAGACCAGTGCCTGCCCCTGGGACAGCTGTGTTTTCCTGGCTGATGGCCACCCTATGTGTGACATGATTGCTCTTCTGATGCTCATGCACTTCAGGCTCACGGTCCTTCCCACCTGTCCCAATGAGTACTTCCTCTCTCCTGGGAGATAATGACCTTGAACCGGCCCCCTCTAGAGCGATTGATGTTAATGTTTATGGGTCTCCATATAGAATTATATATACATGTAACAATAACTGCCTTGCTTAGTCATGTGGCCCCATGGCCTCTGAGACCTTGACATGATAGACTGTAGGGACTTTGTGTCTTTGGGCACATCATTTGACCTCTCAAGGCCTTATCTAAGAAGTGAATTAGATGGGATGTGTTTAATTACATCCTGTGTGTTAAATTGCACTGCTATTATAAAATGTCTGCTAAGAACCTTATGCAGGTTCTTAACCTCAGTGAGGTCGATGTCACCCCACTTTTATGGATGAGGGCACATGATAATAGAGCTTGAGTTTGGACCCAGGTCAGCTGACTCTAAAGCCAGCATTCTCTCTTCTAAGACATCTAGCAGATCAGGGCAGGTGTTCCTGTGGGGCCTGTCCTGGGGTCAGAGACTAAGAACCAGACTCCAGGCTCTGCAAGCATATCTGTTTTTCCATACCCAATCTTTCCTTTGAACAAACATCTTAGAACTGTAAGACTGGGATTGCATGGCCCTATTCAGGAGGTGAGTTACAGGGTTTGGGCCTGGTGGCCATGTCACCAGTTAACACTGGCCAATAGCTTCCCTTCTTAACTGTCCACTGCTTTCTCCTGTATCTAACTGATGCAATTGATGTTCTTAACTATGGGCTAGGCAGTACCAGATATGGTTCTTTTTCCTGTTCATGTGCCCTGTCCTTTTGGGCTGCGTGCATTCCATTCTTGCAGGAAGAAACCCTTTAACTTAGCAAATTCAGCCACTCATTGGCTTATCCTGTCTGATTAATGAGATGGCGTTACTGATTCTTCCCTCACCCATCATTGTCTAAGACGCATTCATAACTGCATTATAACCCTCTGAAGCTTAAGTTTTCTAATTCTTGGTGTTACCTGAGCAGGTGGTCTGTAAATAACCCAGTGGCTTTCTCATGGGTGTTTTAATCATTCGATTTTAATCAAAATGCCTTGTTAAGCTTACCTGTGTGCTTCCACGGGCACCTGTCTCTTCACATGGCTGTTCAGTGTGCCCCTTACAAGCTTGCCAATTTCCACCTGCCTGCTTAGAATGTGATCAAGCCACGTGTCCTTGGCTTTGACCTAGCTTTCTAGCACTGCTCAATGTGCTTCTACCGCAGGCCACTGGAAAGGCAGGTAGTATCTGTGTCTGAAGCCAAGCAAGCTCTCCATGTGTGCGTGGTGGAGGCCAGGCACGAAGCCCTGTGGTCACCAGGCAGCCATGTGAGGTGGGGGGGCCTGTTCTTCCTGCGAGCTATGTCATGAGGCAGCATGGTCAAGTCCTGCCAGGGAGCCGGGGACGGGCCCCAGCCTCCGCATGTCTCCATGCTGAGGCGTTAGAGCCTGCCACCATATTGTCTCCCTCCACCCCCACCACCAATCAGAGAGACCTGCCAACATCAAAAGATCCTTCCAGAATGGAAGAACCAGTTTCCCCTCTGATGGAGGAGAAACAGTAGCCATTGATGCTTGAATCTCCCTGTGCAGGCTTTCATCACCCTGCCTCTTTGCATCTGCCTGAAGGAGAGACTTAGCCAATTAACCTAAGGTACCTTCCTGTCATTAATTCCCCATTCTGTCTTTCCATGTTGTTGTCTCTCGTTTGTTTCCCCCCCCTCCTTCTTCCCTCTTCCTTGCCTCCCCTCCCCCTAAACCTTACAGATAGCTCGTGAGGCTGAGGCAGCCATGTTCCACCGCAAGCTGTTCGAAGAACTTGTGCGAGCCTCGAGTCACTCCACAGACCTCATGGAAGCCATGGCCATGGGCAGCGTGGAGGCTTCATATAAGTGTTTAGCAGCAGCTTTGATAGTTCTGACGGAGTCTGGCAGGTAGGGCCCCGAGGGCAGGTAACTGTAGGATGAACAGCCTCTTGCTCCAGCCACTCTAGACGGCAGCCAGGGCCCAGCCCTGAGCCTGGGACACTCTTCTCATCTGCAGGAAGCCAGCCAGGGAGGTCAGGGCAGGACAGGGCCACAGGGTCCTCCGGCTCAGAAGGCACAGCCGTGTCACAGGCACCTGATGTGGGGCTGGTTCCTGCAGGTCTCGATCTCACTCAGCTCAGAACCTCCAGTGATGGGGCTGCTCTTGGCCCTTGCACCCAGGGACTTGCTCCTCCCCAGCTGTCTGTGACTCTTCCCCTCCCCGTCCCATGTGACACGGCTCTGACAGCTCTGTCCCCCTCGTCCCTCTGGACGGATGTTGCCCCTAGATTGCCCGTGAGGCAGAGGCTGCCATCTACCATTTGCAATTGTTCGAGGAGCTCCGTCGCCTGTCACCCATTACCAGCGACCCCACCGAAGCCGCCGCCGTGGGGGCCGTGGAGGCATCCTTCAAGTGCTGCAGTGGGGCCATAATCGTCCTCACCAAGTCTGGCAGGTAGGAGGTGGCAGCGGCTCCCTGGGAATGCCCTGCCCAGTGGCACCTTTCCTTGGGGGTCCTGGGAGCGGTGCCCTGCACAGTGCTTCGATGGCATCCAGCCAAGGTAAGACCACTCGGCCTGCACCCTGGACCCTGCAGGGAAGGAGTCCCCTCCCCCTCCCCCGCCCAGCCCCACAGGCTCTGGGCCCTGGGCCTGAAGGACAGGACCCCAGGCAGCCCTCATGGGCGTTTGGAACCATTGGGGTCCAAAGCAAGTTTATTAAAACCTCAAAACAAGCTAGACTTTGTTAGATAGCTATAGGTAGCCTGATGACAAGTGGTTATTTGATATTCAAAAGCTGTTATTAAAAAGTGAAGGATCACCAGTTTTGCTTCTTCTAGCTAAGTGCTCTTTAAAAAGTCCAGTTTGCAAAATGAGTGCCATTTGCTGACAATGCTGTTTGGTTGGTGTGCTTGTCCCATCTGCCTTTGAGTCCCAAAGATAAATGGGTGCTGCCCAGGAAAGGTCACTGTGCTCTTACTGGCACTCGGGCCAGGCAGCCAGGCTGAGACCTCTGCTTGGCCTCTGGCACGAGTCCCTTCTGAATCCAGGACATCAGGTTAATTTCCCTTGCTCCCTGGTCCTGAGGGTGTGCTGCTCCTCCATGGGGCAGCTAGGGTTTCCTGGAGGAGGTGGGTGGAGAGGAGCAGCAGGTGGGACTGCCTTTAGGACCAGGACACAAGATGTGTGCCGAGTCCCTCAGAAGAGGGCTTAGGATAAAAAGCTCCAGCCGTCAGGGTTGACCTTTGTGAAAAGGTCCAACCATCGCTACTTGGCTATTTTTAGCTCCAGTCTTCTGGGGTTTCACTCTCAGCGAGTCCTGACTTCAGCACTTGCTTCCCTCTGAAAGCCTTGTATGGAGGCCCAGCCTTAAGCAGGGCATCCTCTGCTGTGACATGGGTTAAGTTTCCCTGACAGCTGTTTCCTCATAGCTTGCCTTCTGAGCTCCAGTTCCCCTGCCGGCAGCCCCTCCAGCTCCTGAGACACCAGCCCCTCCAAGTGTACAGTGGCAGTGTTGAAGGAAGCTTCCAGCCTTTGAGCTTTAAAGGGGTCCAGTCCCCTCCAGGGGGTACTTATAGGCAGAGCCTCTGCCACTGACACTGCCACACTGCCGTCCCCTAGTCTTGCCTTCTGGGTAGCACTTACATTTCTGAGCCTCAGCCTCACTTAGGTACTCAGGTTTGACTCCGGGGCTCTATAGCAACAGTTCCTGGGACTGTTTCAGGGGCCTGGGGGTCATGTGGCCTCAGGAGAGGGCACAGCAGTAGGGAAGGCTTACCTTGTAGATCTCTCAGGCGGGCTGGTGGTCTCTGCTCCTGTTTTTTTTTTTTTTCTGGCAGATGTCAAGTGTCAGGTGCTATTCACATGCTGCTTGGCTTATAGTTGTTGCTGGCAGCAAGAGAAAAGGGTGTGGTGAGGTTGGACAGGGCTGCTTCACTGTGCCAGAATGGAAAAGTTCAGGGGATGGGGGGCTCTGCCAAGTATGGGCCATGTGGGGTAAATGGGTGAGACTAACTATGCTGGGTCAGTATGATCCTGTGGCCCTGGCCTGTCAGAGGGGTTTAGGGTAGCATAGCTGTGAGGAGTCTTCCATGGCAGATACAGGCTGATGGGACACCCCAGTCTTGGGAGCAGATGTTGAAATCGCCAGAGCCTCAGGCTGGCAGAGTTGGATTCCAGGGTGAGTTGTTGCCGAAGGCCCTGAGGGGGGGACTGTTTAACCATCTTGTCTGCCTGCCCCGTCTCAGGTCTGCACATCAGGTGGCCAGATATCGCCCCCGGGCCCCCATCATTGCTGTGACCCGGAATCACCAGACAGCTCGCCAGGCCCACCTGTACCGCGGCATCTTCCCTGTGGTGTGTAAGGACCCAGTGCAGGAGGCCTGGGCTGAGGACGTGGACCTCCGGGTGAACTTGGCCATGAATGTTGGTGCGTGTCTGGGAGGGAGGGCTCCCAGTGGAGGGCTGGGGAAGGTGCTTGAGCACTGGCTTCTCTGAGACGCTATTGAAAGAGGAACATGCCGGCCTTTGGGGGCAAGAGCTGACCTCACTGGGGATGTTCTCTGGTTCCTTCATCCCAATCGCTGGAGCCCTGGGCTAAGGTCATGGCCGGGAGAGAACCTTTTGAAGTGTGGTGCTGAGCAGCCCAGGGTCTCACCTCACGTTCTTTGGGAGTGGGATCCAAAGCAAAGGATCCTGGTAATCACCTTTGTCCATTCTTTGGCATTTGCTCATTGTTGAGGGTTGGTTTTTTTGTGTTTTTTTTCCCATAAAATTAACCAGATTTCCTACACTTGGGGCCAGTACACATTTAGATTATGTACTCAAATGGCCTTTGTCACGATATAAAAGTAGAATGTCATAGGATGAGAGGAAACAGCTAGCTGTGACCTTGGGCTGGGCTCTCCACCTTCTTGGGTAGAAAATGAATGATATCCAAAGGTCCCTCTGCCATCTGAGTGATAAGGAAATAATAATAATACCAAGGCCTGCCTCATTCCCTTTGTCTGGGCTGTGAGGCTAGCGCCACCTTGTGGTGTAAGAAAGTAAAGGCCTGTCAGCCCTTCTGCAATTGTGGGGCACTCTCCCAAGTGTATACCTTCCTGGCTTAATTTTTCATTTACCAGCTGTCTTCTCTTCCTCCAGGAAAGGCCCGAGGCTTCTTCAAGAAGGGAGACGTGGTCATTGTGCTGACCGGGTGGCGCCCTGGTTCCGGCTTCACCAACACCATGCGTGTGGTTCCTGTGCCGTGATGGACTCCGGAGCCCCTCCTCCAGCCCCTGTCCCGCCCCTCTTCCCCAAACCATCCATTAGGCCAGCGTTGCTTGTAGTGCTCGCTTGGGGCTGTAGTGTGGCACTGGTGGGCTGGGACGCCAGGGAAGAAGATGAATACCTCTGTGAAACCTGGCTGGTTTTAAGACTCTGCTTGGGTGGGGTAGTTCTGAGCTGGGCCACCCATCACGTGGCTGCATCCAAGCAAGGGGTGAAGGAGGGATGCAGGCAGGACTGGAGGCCCCAGAGCTTCACACAGAGGACAACAGCTCCTGCTTCCCTTCCTTTGTGTACCCGATTCAGTTCCTGTAGAAAATTGATTTCCAGAGAATTCCCAACCCTGGCCCGGGATCAAGAGTAGGGGTCTTAGGGCATGGGGCAGCGGTTCTGGTTTAAGTAGACTCTGGCCCTGGCCCTTACTTGCTTCTCCAACCCCCTCAGCCTCCCTCACTGTCACCTTGTGAGCCGTACACTTCTCTTCCTTCACCCAGCTGTTGCTGCAGACAAACACTCCACCCCCCCCCCATCTTCCATTTCCCCAACTACTGCAGCCGCTTCCAGGCTTGTTGCTATAGAGCCTACCTGTATGTCAATAAACAACAGCTGAAGCACCTGTTTCCTCTCTTTTCTGTTGGGGATGGGGGGGGTGGTTGAACCCTGCCCTCTGAGTGGGGTGAAATGGCAAGAGCCCCGTGGCTTCTGGCAAGTGCGCCTGTTAAGACTCAGGCCACCTACCATCCTGTCCCCCAGGGTGCAGAGGTGCTAGGAGAGCAGTCACTGACAACCTTGAATATAGGCTACCCTTTTCAGTGCCCTGGGGTCTAAAATCCTGCAGCTTGGGAAATTTTAACAGCTTATTTGTTCCAAAGATTGGACAAGGCAGCCACAAGGGCCCCTCCCTCCTGCTCTGGGTAAACCAGGAGTGAGGTGGCTCTTGTCCTGCTGCTTCCCCCTAGGTCATCCTGCAGTAGAGGTCCAGGTTGAGACTAGGTTCTGTTCCCAGTTGTGAGAATATTGGTGCCCCCTTCTGTTTTCCCACATCCTCCCTCCATGAAAAAGCAGGCTCAGAAAGCTAGTAGAGGGGTTGGGAATGGCACGGTTTGCACCTTTTCTGTCTCCTGACCACTCCCAAGGACCAATCCTTTCCTGGTGGGGATAAGAGGGAAGGGGCCCACGTACCAGGTTGATTGTCACACCCCCAGTCTGAGTTCTAATGCCTGTGCTTTCCCACTCAAAGTCTGGGCATCTGCAGTCCCCTTCCAAACACCTCCCGAAGCCTTCTGCTTTGGGAGACACTGCGAAATCCCCAGCTCTGGGAAAACGAAATCATTGCAGACCCTTGTTCAAAATGCCCTCTGGTGTTCCCTACTCATGTCCTCACTTCTCTGGTGTGGAGAGACCTGGAGCTTGGTGTTGGGAGGTGTTGGAGGAGGGCGGGAGTGGGCTGCTGCCGAGGGCTTCAGGCTCCGAGACTAAAATGGCTAAAGAGGAAGAACTTGAAGCAAGTACCTAAGGCCCTCGCTGGGAAGGGCAAAGGATGCAGGCCCAGGCCCAGGACTTGCCAGTCCCATGGACTGATCGGTAGGATCTAAGCAGAGCTTGGGGCCCCACCTGGATCTGGAGAGAGGGAGGAACAACCAATAGGCTGGGCCCGTCCCGCGCGAGCAGCCAATGGACGGTCGGGGGCGTGTCGTCCGAGGCAGTCAGGAGTGGGCATTCGGTCCCCCGCGCTGTCTGGAGGCTCCGCGATGACAGCTTTGAGTCCGGGCGCGGCCGCCGGGGCGAGCAGGTAAGGGGGTGCAACCCACGGACCGGGCTCTGGACCCCGGAGTCCGCCTCGAAGGGACGCTCCCCGGCGGGACTCGGCGCCCGTCGCGCCTAGGTGGATTCTGCCCGCTGGGCAGGCACTTTCCACCCTGCCGGAATGCGGCTCCGCTCCAGAGCTGCGCCGTGCCGGCCCCGGCGCCTCCTGGGCTGCGAGGTGTTGCGCGGGGGCGGGATGTCAGGCTGCCGGCGCTTCCTGCTAGGGGTTCGAACATCGGGGATGATGGACGTCCGGGCGGCACCAGGGAGGTGGGGGGCACCCTCCTCGGGATACCTCCCGTGGTTCACCACCATCCTCCTCTGCCGCCGTCGCTGGTCATTCATTCGTTCGTTCATTCATCCATTCCCTGGCCATATCGACCTCCTGTCCCCTACCCCCAACCCACGGGCTGGTCCTTCCCTTCTGGCCCCCGGAAGTTTCAGACTCTCTCTTCTCCTAACCGGGTCTGCAATTGTAGCGGCGCTCTGTTGCCTAGGAGGCAGCGTGGAGCTGTCCCAGCAAGACTCGGCCGCACCCCTACGTCGTGCCCGTCCACGTCGGGCGGGCTGGGGCCAGGCTTTCAGCCTCGAGATCTGTTCCACAGTCACTCTCGGAAGAAGGAAAGTTCTTGCAGCTGATCAAGGGGTAGGGAGGCAGCGTAGGTGAGAGGTGGCGTTTCAGGTAGGATCAAGAATTGTGGCCTTTGCCCCTGATGTCTTGGGCCCCTGCGGGTAGGATTATCTGGGGAAGACGGAGTCAGCGGTTGAAGCCCTAAACTGCGGCCCTTGTCCAGGTCCCAAACCCTACAGCCAGAGCTCTGATGGGCAGCCTGGCACCCCTGGCCATCCAGCCTTGGGGCAGACAGTGTGGATGTAGTGTGCGACCCGGTGCCCAGGCCACGCAAGTAAGTGAAGCTGGCAGAAGGCTTAAGGGCTCCCTCTGTCCTGTCCGCAAAGAAGCTGGTGAAGTCCTGCACAGCTGGCATTTCCCTTGTTGGCTTTGCTTGCCCCACCCACCCTTGCAGGAATCGGACTCCTAGGGAAAGAATGTCCTAACAATCCACGATGTCTTTGCTCCAATGTACATCTCTAGCTGGCTCTGAAGTCCAGTTCCTTTCACAGCAAAGACTTTTGGGGCTTCAGGGAGAGAGGAGTAGAGGGTGTATATCTCCCACCCCCACCCCCATTCTGCAGTGAGAGGGAGGGTTTGCTCCTTCTGCAGTCTTCTGATCGCACAGACAGACACTCGGGTCTGAGGTTGTGGTTCTAAAGGGCCAGTTAAGCAATGAACATCTCTGGGACAAATGGGCAGATCTAGAGCACAAAGCTGACAGAAGCTGCTCCTGAGCTTCCAGGAGCATTTCTGCAGGGGCCAAACCAAAGTTCTCATTCCTGACTTGCCTTTGGGAGAATTTTCTGAATAGCATAGTGGGGTCAATCCAGGTCCTATCCAGGCCTTGATGTTACTGATTGCTTTGATGTTTCTGAGCTTAGCTGGGTCCTTGGAGCTTTGGTGTAGACCAGGAGGATCTGTGTGCCAACCCATCCACCTAAGATCCCTGAGGTTGAGGTCAGCAGTACTCAAGATGGGCTCTGCCAGCCAGATCTCCTGAAGTTCTTCCACATGCCTGTTTGGGTGGCCCCTCCTAGTCCTTAACCTGGTTAAGTTGCGGCTTTGGCCCTTGAATGCCACATACCATGCTTATCGGACCAGTATGAAGAGCCTCTCTTGTCAGAAGTTCCTATTTTGCTATGACCTGGGACAAGTCAGGTCTCCTTTCTGGGCCTGCTTTGCCATTGTAAGGTAAGGAGAACGGACTGTAAGCTTCTTAAAGGCCTTTTCTGTGCAGCCATTCAGCGATTCTGCTAACTAGCCTGTTTCCCTCTTGATTTTTGAAGGTATTTTATCTCTTTACATAATTACTTCGTTGCCATGACTACCTATGGAAAGCCCATGGCGTTGAGGACCCATGAAGCATTCCACTTTGGTATCCAGGGTCTGAGTCCAGACACCAGAAAATAATTTCCTTTTTTCTTTCCTGAGAAGTGAAAATAATTCCACCCAGTTCTGCAGCCCTCTTTTAAGCAAGGGTAAGTTTGGCATGAAGTCAGCCTTGGCCTCTGTGTTGCTATTCACCTGGGCTGCAGGGCACGAGTCTGTCACCACCTGTTATCACCAGCCTTTGAAGCTTTGATTAATTCCCCAGCTGTTTACTAATGTAGAAAAGGAAGGAGGACGGGGACAGCAAGGAAGGGGTGGAGCTTCCTGTTATCAAGAAGTACCTGGGCTTCCCTGGTGGTCCAGTGGTTAAGAATTCACCTGCCAATGCAGGCAGCACAGGTTTGATCCCTAGTCCAGGAAGATTCCATATGCCCTGGAGTGACTGAGCCCATGGGCCAGACTACTGAAGCCCAAATGTCCTAGAGCCCATGCTCCGCAATAGCAGAAGCCAACACAACACGAAGCCTCTGTACCACAACTAGAGAGTAGTCCCTGCATGCCGCAGCTAGGGAAAGTCTGCATACAGCAATGAAGACCTGGCATGGCCAAAAACAAAAAATAAACTAATTTTAAAATAAAATTAAAAAAAAAAAGTACCTGCTTCCCCACGGAGTCCTTGGTGGCCAAAGCACAGAGAGAAGTTGCTGTTCCCAAGAATACAAGCCACTACAGGGCAGGCTGGTGCCTCCCTTCTCCCCACCACAACCACACATTTTCATTAGTTTACAAGTGCTTGGTCAGACTTTAGGACTGGAGTGTTTAATAATCTATGGAGGTTGAGCCAGTCTCTAAGTCTTTGTCCTAAATTAGTTTCCTCAAGTGATGTTAAAAATCTACTGGGAAAGCACATTGTTACTTTTTATTTTATTTATTTTAAAATATGGATTTATTTATCTGGCTGTGTCAGGTCTTAGTTGTGGCATGCAGGATCTTTGGATGTGGCATGCGAACTCTTTGTTATGGTGTGTGGGATCTAGTTCCCTGACCAGGAATCCCACCTGGGCCCCCTGCATTGGAAGTGTGGAGTCTTAGCTACTGGACTGCCAGGGAAATCCCCCAATATATTTTAGTATGCATGCTGTTCTAGATACATGTAATGCTTTTTTTCAATGTTATATAAGGGTATCCTTTGTGTTAAACTTATTTTTAATGTTTTAATAATGAAATATTTTAATCATTACATAGCCTTTTATTGTATGAATAAACCATACTTTGTTCATGCTCTATTTTTTTTTTCTTTTTTAACTACACTTCAGTGAATATTTGTATACTTTTAAATTTGTGTCCAATTATTTCCTGAGAATAAATTGTTAGAAGTGGAATTTATGGGTCTCTACATGTAAACATATGTATCTATTCACATACTGCTCTCCTACACAGGAGTGTGAGACTGTCCATTCACCAAAATGTTGATCAACCATAGATGTTTTTACACTTTTAAGCCTTTGAAATTTAATAAGTAAAAAAAGATATCACTTCTACCTTTTAAAAAAAATCTTTATTATTTTTCTTGATTTTAAAGATATTACACCCCTGTTATAGTAATTTCAGGCAAAACAGAAACTGTTGAGAGTGAATTCCTCCCTGAGATATCATCACTATTGTTTGATACAGAATTTTTTTTATTGTTTCTTTTTCTGTTTTTTTAATACAGAATTTTTAATTTTATAAATGGGTTATATATTTCTTTAACTTTTTAAATTTTATGCTGGAGTATAGCTGATTAAAAATGTTATGATAGTTTCAGGTGAGCAGCAAAGGGACTCAGCCATACATATGTGCATGTAACAGCCATATAACATTGAGCAGTTCCCTATGCTATACAGTGGGTCCTTGTTGCTTATTCATTTTAAGTGTTTTTAAAAATTCTATTTGTTTATTTATGGCTGCTCTAGGTCTTCATTGCTGCTCACAGGCTTTCTCTAGTTGCAGCGAGCGGGAGCCACGCTTCATTGTGGTGTGCAGGCTTCTCGTTGTGGTGGTTTTTCTTGGTCTCTAGGGCTGGAGGATGTGGGCTCAGTAGCTGTAGCCAGTGGACTCCAGAGCACAGGCTTAGTAGTTGTGGTATGTGGGCTTAATAGCCCTGTGACACATGGAATCTTCCTAGACCAGGGGTTGAACTCGTGTCCCCTGCATTGGCAGGCAGATTCTTTACCACTGGACCACAAGAGAAGTCCCAGTTATCCATCTTAAATATAGCAGTTTGCACATGTTAATCTCAAGCTCCCTAACTCTCCTTTCCCCCTATCCCTCCCCTCTGGCAACCATAAATCCATTCTCTAAGTTTGTGAGTCTGTTTTGTAAATAAGTTCGTCTATATCATTTCTCATTAGATTCTGTATATAAGGGATGTCATATGATATTTCTCCTCTGTCTGACTTATTTCACTAAATATGACACTCTCTAGGTTCATCCATGTTGCTGCAAATGGCATTATTTAATTCTTTTTAATGACTGAGTAATAGTCCATTGTGTCTATGAAGCATACCTTCTTTATCCATTCCTCTGTCAGTGGACATTATGTTGCTTCCGTGTCTTTGGCTATTGTACACAGCGCTGCAGTGAACAGTGGGGATGCGTGCATCCTTTCAGATGACGTTTTTCTCCAGATATAGGCCCGGGAATGGGATTGCAGGGTAGCTATATTTTTAGTATTTTAAGGAGCCTCCATGCAATTCTCCATAGTCACTGTACCAATTTACATTTCCATGAACAGTGTAGAAGAGTTCCCTTCTTTCCACATAAATGGGTTATATCTTGGTTACTAACTTAGATATACTTTTTGCTAAACAACACATTTTTTACCTTTTTTCCATATTAGCACATGCAGCTGTACTCTTTTTAGTCAATTGCATAGGAATCGATTATATTGATAAAATACTATTTTGGTATTTCTACATTTTCCCTCATAATTGTTTAATTTCCTCATAATTTATAGGAATATAAATTTTTGCCTACTTGTCCATTTATTTCATTATAACAAG